CGTGAGTATTTCCAACGTACGTGTTTTTCAGAATCTATTTACCATTTCTTAACGTTTTTGTAATCTTTTTTACTTCGTTCGAACAAATAGAGACAGATGTTGGACGTGAACTAATAGTGCGTGATAACGGTTGCAATATTCATCGATATACATTTTTAACTTAATACGGAAAAAGTGAAACTGGATAAGTCAGGATGTTTTGTCACTATGGAATATAACATCACCCATTTAATTCCGGATTCTCTTCACGAATCTAATGATTTTACTAATACTATTTGCAATTCAAATGATTATTAGGATGAACAATAGTAATGTTTTGCATGATAAATAGTCGATATATTTTATTATTGAGAGATAATATCTGGCCGATAACAATAGGAATATTATTGTATAGTTTCGAAGGACACACTTTCTAAGTAACAGAATATAAGACAATCATTTAACAAACGAGCAGACGGAAAAGACGTAGATCAGATATTTTTATTATGTCCGTATAGTGAATAGTAATCATAAAATCTAATGACCAATACCAGGTCTAAGATTTTTACTTAGTACAAGGTTTAACATCACCTCTTCAACTCCATAATTTTCTGAGGAACGAACAAAATTATGGAGATTTTTTCTCATCTAATAATTATCATAATAGAATGACCGTCTTGCGCTCAACCACGCTATTAACAGAGGATGTTCTAGGAACCTAGGTTCATAGGGTAAGACGCTCAGTGTGGAGTACCAGGGATATCATTAGAGAAAAATTTGATAACGTTTATAGCAGGAATATGTGTCTGATTTCTTTGGATTTTCCTTTTTATCACGCTCACGGTCCATCATGTTAACATAGAATAAAACTGTAAGCTACAGAATACACTAGTGGGGTTAAGATCAGTCTCTAACCCTGGATTGTTCAGAAACATCTAAAAGACGCTTGAATTGTAGAAAAGGCAGCAATGATAACAAACGGACATGGATATTATCTCAGTAATAAGTAAACATGAGATACATATTCTATATGTGGTCTTATTTCATAATTTGAGATTGACGTTGTAACAACGATTTTCGAGAGAGACAAAAATGTTAATATGTTATAGTGTGGATTGTATATAACATATAGTAATATACAGTAGTTGAGCGATAGTTATGCTGAATGATTTGTTTCGTAATATACTTGGCTCTGAACTATTCTTTCTGTTAATAACGGCGTGATACATTATTTATGGTATTGCTACTACACGAATACAATGATTATGAAAATGGAGTTAGATACTTTGTCTATACACAAATGATAAGTAACGGGTTATTGGTTCTGGTTGTTAGATGACGTGTCAAAGATAGATCATACCGAAGGGTGCCTATGGAAGGATAATGTAGTTAATTATTGCCTCTATATCTTCCGTTTTAAATAATGAACACTATGCTACAACTCAAGAACAAAAGTTGATTATGTGGAATAATGTGAAACACGGATTATTAGTTATCCTACCTCTATTGTTACTGTACTTGTATTGAATGACACGGTTAATGTGATATACAAAATGAGATAAACATAGTCATCAGTCGCATGAAATAAAATTGTAATAAACGGGTCCTATAGCCTCATCGGACATAAAAAGCTCTTGTGATGATGCCAATAGTCCAGGGTCATATGATATCGTCAACCATTATATGACGTATAGACAGTGTCTTTTGTAATACAAACAAAAATGTGTTTGTTTTCACTGACATATTCGTTTATTCATTCAATAACTAGTGATTTTCATAATTGTATTCGTAGAAAGGAATCGTATTATACAAAGATGATCATTCTGGATGGACACATTATGTTATAGAGACATAAAAAGAAAATCTCGCAAGATGATGGGAATTAAAAGTACGATGTGATAGCGTGGATACAGTGATCATGATAACAGATATGGTATTTAACAATTAATTTTCACCTCTTATTTTTTGTAAATCAACACAAAAATTGATACGATGCTATAACTCTCTTTATGGATAGAGGTCGACTATGTGAAATTATGTGAAACAATGAATCTTCGATTATTAGTTATTCTACGTCTCCACATCTATTGTCATATTTGTATTGAAATACATAGGTATATAGAATAAAAAAAGTAATATCGAGTTCTCAAAGGATCAGATTATATTGCTTGATGCTATTCGTCCAGTGTCATATGACACCGCAAACATTTGTTCAGAGTATCATGTGATAGCATATTCTTGTGTCAATAATAATACATTGGGAACTGCACATATAAAATTCAAAAACAAGACAACTGTGACCCGACGATCTCGTAGTTAGTGGTATTTTGAATAGTGCACTACAGAGATTTAATTTTGCTACGCCCTTGCATTTGATATATAAATGATAGACATATTACTTCGTTATACAACGAGTTCTGTATTTCCACATTCTCGAAAATCGTTCTAATTTTGCTCTTCGAGCAGTCTCCGACTGAGTTACTATTTTTTATTCGCTAACACTATCATATTATGGACATTTGATATCGATACCCGAGAGTCCTATGTCATGTGCTCCTGAGCATTCTTCTATCAAATAACATAGGCCATGCCTACGAAATGGCTTTTGCCACTAATTATTAACCATATTTCACCGGTTACTGACACATCAATAAAGTGATCTCACTTTGTTTGCATACAATTTTTTATTCGATAAGAGATTAACTGTCATACATAAAATACGTTATATACATACTTGGCCAACAATCGAATCAAATAAATACTTTATTACTATTGTAGTGTAAAAATGAATCACTTCTTAGATCGAAACTCAAGATTAGTAGGAGTAGTCTGTTATATGCTACTGAAGAGCCCATGACATTGCGACTAGCAAATGAAAGTACGAAACATAAGATAATTTTTATGAGCACCAATTAGAATCGAATGTACAGGGGAAATATAAGGTAATAACTACTGTATGTGGTTACTCGTCCAATAAGGATAACTCTATTATATTTCCTATTTATAATCCTAACGGATGTGTCCTCAAAAAAACAGAAATGGCTCGTAAGTAACAAATTCCTGAAGGAGATTCCTTTGGAAATGATGAGGTCATTTGCGGCATGAGATATTCTTAATTACAACTAGCCGAAACATAAGGAAAAAAGAGCATTCTTGTGGTTTTTGTTTCTTTACTGGCAATCCTTTATTGTTTACAATAATACTTATGTGGTATATTCTCTCACCACGTTGTACAAACAGCACACCAATTTCATAATAATGAATAGTTGTCGTAATAAACTTGATCTAATAGTATTTATTACTGATTTTCAAAAACTCCTGTTGCATACAACTAACGATTATGTGGATATGCTCTTTGCTACCGAACTCGTCTTTGGGGAAATACTTTGAGATGAGTTCCAATGGCTCCATTTTATCCACGTTCAAATTATTGCTGGAGAGATAATAGTCGATATTTTTTGTGGTGACTTGATCATTCAGTTTGAAAAGAAACAATTCGTTGCTAGGGACATTATAATAAGTATTGGGACTTAATCGTTCCCTAATTAAAGGCCTAAGAAAGTCAACTTGTTTGTCCCTCGCCATCACGACTCCAAAAAATTTGTTTCTATCAATTTTTCGAGAGTCTCCGTATAAGGGAAGAATATTGAATGTTAAAATGTCTTCATCTGTTCCACATTCACTTGTCATTTTTCCTTTATTACACATGAGATACCAAAAAGAAGTGCACATTTTTTTGAGTAATAAAAAGATTCTACGTTGCTGTAAACACATAGTACTCACCCGAATGTTTTTTTTTCAATGTTTAATTTCTTACATGTATTCCCGTATCATACTAACAAACGGTTACTTATATAAGAAATCAAAGGGGTTAAAAATGATAAAAATGCGGAAAAGGATAGAAAAACAGTAATAGTTGGTTAGTAATCATTAGTAATCGAAAACAGATCACCATTGGTTCGGCATTTACCTATAGCTGAAAGATTGACCATCGATCACTTTGGGGTTTTCATCCTTATTGGTATCACTCCGATATTAATACAGTGGTGAGCATAATTTTTTGGAAAAAGAAAGAGGTAAAATACGTAAAAAACGCACTTCGAAGAAGGTCCTACGGACTAAAAAACTGTCTAATATGACTATTTTCCTACATTCGCCATTCCAGTGGAACTGGGCTCTGCCCAAATAATTTTGCTCACCACCGTATAATCCACGGATTACCATTTAAGTATTACTTCGCCGATGATGCTGCGGGTGCGAAGTTGAAATAATAATCATATACAAATTTTGTTTTAATAAAGTTTACTTTGATGTTCGCAAATCTATAGTTTGTGAATTAACTTACAAGAAATGAACACCTGATGTCATTGTCATTAAAAACGTCATTGGAGGAATAGAAATCCTGACATAATTTCTTAGTTCCACATGGTCTACGGTTGTTATTCGTGCACATGAACGAAATAGCAGAGACATCTAAAATACTGAGCTAATATCTATCTTCTATCCAATCTTCGTTCAGGTTAGAAGTTGACCTTATAAGGTACAACTATTTTTTTTACTAATCTATCGAGTGTTACATTATATCGACTGCGGAGACAAATGTTAGTGGACAATGAATTTTTGTAACGGAACACAAAATGCGTGTTCATTGGAACATCCAATTACTTTTGGTACCACTGTATAGAAATAAGTTAAAGCATATCTTACGGGTTTTATAATTTCGAACCCTTTACTCCTTTCTCTCGTTATTAGTTAAAATCTCCACGTCATTTTTGTAAATTTATTTGACGCTCAAAAACAAGATATAATACCTTTTTACATTTCTCATCACCTAATGGCACAGTTCATTCCTTTTATTCTACCAATACAAAGGACTGTTTGCTTTCGTTTTGGTGTTATATTACCTTTATTCTCTTTTCCTTTAAAAGATTAACTTCGTAATTCAAAAAAATTGAACCAGAACAAAAATTTAGTAGACCTACTGCGCCACACATAATACCGACCGATATTTATATCAAAAAATGGTTTTTTTTTAACGCTGCACGGTAGACTAAGAAAAAAAACATTTCGTCATTTTCTGTTATGGAATTATGAACGTCATTATAGTCACAACATGAATATCATTACGCCAATGAGCTAAATAGATTATTAGGGAACAATAGTATTGAACGCTATTATTCTCATGATCTTATCCATTTCAAGGAAATTGGCTCTGGAGGATTCGCATCTGTTCATGTAGCAAAATGGAATAATACACCAACAAAATATGCAGTTAAAAAAATTGTTGACAATAAAGAGGTGTGTTACATTCTTACATATAATATTTTTTATATTACTTGTATATTTATTTACATATAACTTGCCCCTAGGTTTATTTGACAAAAATAGTTAATCCTCATGCAAATATAATCGGATTCTACGGAGTTACTAAATTAGAAGGTAACATGACAATTTTGCGATAAACCTTTAATATTTTTGTTGACATGTTAATTTTCATTAGGTGAGGAAAGGTATTCGCTTGTTCTTGAATATGCAGATGGTGGAACACTAAGAGATTATATAAGGAATAATATTGTCGAATGGAATAACCAACTGAGGTTTGCAAGAGAGATTACAAGTGCAATTTTATGGTTGCACGATTATAAGGGTATAGTACATGGGGATCTTGTAAGTATATTCATAACGTCTAAACATCTACCTAATAAATTACTAAATATAACGTGTAATTAACGCCTTCTTTTAGCATCCGAATAATATCTTATTACATAGAGGCACAATAAAATTAGCAGATTTTGGACGTTCTTTTGAAAAAGGAAAGGGTGATGATAATACTGAAGTATGGGGAGTAGTACCTTATGTGGATCCTAAAATGTACGATAAAACAATTCTGTATAAGTTAAACGAGAAATCTGATATATATTGTTTGGGAGTTCTATTCTGGGAGTTGGCCAGCAGCTCATTGCTTATTGATAGTCCTGAAGATAATTATGTAACGCTTGGAGCGGCTGTACCGAACACGAATGATAAATTTGCTGAACTTTATCAAAGTAAGTGAAAAATTAATTCCATAACCATGATTCTGTTGTACCAGTACAGTTTTATTTTTCATGTCGCAATCTAATTTTTGTTTACTTGAATAGAATGTTTGGAACAAGAACCGGATGAACGACCAAACATTTCCGAAGTAAATGAAACACTAAATACCATTGACATTGATGAGTCTACTGTTTCTGATTCTGAGGAAAGTGAATATTCCTATCAAATTGATTTAAATAAGCTTTGTCAAAAACTTTAGTGTCACTTTGTCGATGATGTGTAAAAAAATTTAAAAAATAGAATCCGTAGATTCCCAACGTTACATAGAAGCAGATAGATTTAAGGCGTCCGATACAAAACACATCAATATTGTTTACCTGTCTCTTTATACAAGTTCGTCCCTCCAGATCCCAAATTTTCTGCGCATTTTACACATGGTCCACTGTTTCCCTCTTTAGAATATTCACATATTTTTTATATTTTTCGTTTATAGCTGTTTTCTTTTTTTTTCTTTCTTTGATGGTGTTAGACAAGTTTTTTGTAAGGATGGGTTACATGATAATCACAAGTACAATTTATAACAAATAGAGTAAAACAAATGTTTTTTATTTCGTACCATATATCATGGAGTAATAACGTGTGTATCAATTGTGAATCATTCATTGACAATTTTTTAGCGCAAACTAGGATATAATTGTTTGAAGCGACGAAATGTATATTTCGCATTTAAATAGTAACCCCTTGTGAACGAGTCGTTATTCAATATTTTTCCAATGAACAAGCTATTCATGCAGTTATAAACTCAACTACTGCGACTTCACTTATAATCACAACATCACAAAAATCTGCTGATATTGGAAATCCATTTTGCATCAATTCCACGTAGGATAGAATGTCCATTGCAAAATGCATTTGTTCTGAGTCCTGTAACTTCTGTTAGTCAACGCAGAAAAAGAGTTAATCGGTTTATAACTAGAATTGTTCAACGCTAATATAATATAATGTGTTTTATAGTTTATATTTGTGAGTGCATATGAATCGAAGTCCCATGTTAGGCGTAGAAGATGATCATTGCCCAAAAAACTAGGCCATGCCTACGAAGTAAATTTTCGAATAACGAGACTGTGACCAATGGGTCACGGTTGCCTTATTTCATAGTTTCACTAAACTGTCTAATATGTCTTACGAAAATTATCATATTTATTGGTCAACTATTTTTTCAGATATTTAATAAGATTATGGAATACGTTTTCGTTTGACATCACAGACACAATATAAAATAAAACATGTGCCCTTTGGGGAGTCTACGGCTAATAGCATATTTTTGTATAAGAATAACGAAACAATACCATGTATAAAAAATAAATTAGAAGAGAACGTTGATCATTTTCTTGTTCTACACAGTTAAAGCGGCAATTCAACAGTTTTTCTTGTTATCACACTAACGTATAACCATATCAGACGAGATTAAGTAAACACTACGAATTAACTTAGCATCATTCAGAATAATGCGGATGATAACTTGTTTCATATAGTTTATATGGCACATTTCTTCTGAACTGAAAACTAACTGGTTGCCTCTGTCGCATCATCTGTTGGAGCAAAATATGTTCTTACACTATTCATTTGATAAATGTATTGTGCTCAATAGTAATACCAGAAATATATGACTAAGGCCTACCTAGTTGAGCGTATGCTTTATTAATACTATGATTTTATATAACATAAAAATACGTTTCTCAATATTTTCTTATTAGCTTTTACTAGTGAACGAATCGATCCAAGAGTTTTCCCATCTCGTACCAGGAATAGATGGAGAGATAAAAAATATGCCCATTTTCATCAACTTTCTTAATTCTACATGCGTAATAAATTGCACCAACATCTGACTCCCTGTAATAGAAAAATAGAGTCCTAGGCACAATATGAAACAGATTGTGCAAAGAGATATTGGATTTAATTTGTTTGGCGATTCGATAGTAAGACCTTGTACACTTCGTGTAGAAGAAATGCTCATGCGGTTAAAAAACAAATCAGTAATTTCTTTCCTATTTGGAAACGCATACAACTTGTTATTCACCTTGGAAATTTAATACGTCCATTTTTCTCTCCATATTACTGCTATTCTGATTACAAAGTGGTTGGACAAATTCCATAATAGAGTCCGCTGCATTATAATCCATACTAAAAAGCTGTGAAAGTTTGTCGTGAGTTAATCGTAAATATGAGTTCCTATCTACTTTTGTAGTCTTGCCTAGGCTCTGCCTCCGAAGTAGATTTTTTCATAAATTTTTTCAGTGTCTACCTGAGTAAAATCTGAGTCTTCTTTTTAGAATCCAAAAGGGCTTTGACATGGAGAGCCGACCATTTTAACATTGGAAGGAATTTTGTCAGACATTATTTTATAGATTAAGCCCATTTTCATGTATTCTTTCGCTCATATTATCCCAAAGGAGTAATTACATGCCGGTACTGTGGTAAGTCATAACTGAAATATGTTTGATACTGTTTTTGCTTGGACCTTTCCGTTAAATGAAAAAAAATTCTTTGCTAGCTAGATCGAAAACTAAACTCTGACAAATTCATTTATTCGTTATCACAAACACATAATTCGATACTAAAAAAGATCAGTGTAGCCTAATCACGTGTGGATACTGCGGAAGCGTTATACAAGATTTTGGTTTATCTTTTAAAGGGTGTACGGACTGCGGTAGATTTTGTATAAGCCACCCTCATGTGTACTGTACTGCGGACTATGTCGATGCCGAGATCCATCTAGGAACTTAAGAGCATAACTCCATGATATGGTACGCTAAATGTTAAACAAAATCGATTTTACTAGCCGGTACAAGCTTTACACGACCAGTTCGCTTATGCAAATACCCATCTATGATACTGATTACAGTTTAGAACGTTAAATTAAAGATAAGTAAATTTTTAGTGTATATTATCTACAGTTGGAACAAAAATTTACTAATCGGATCTGATATTCACGATACAACTAAAAAAAAATGAAATAGTAAGTTGTATTATCATCTGGTAATGAATATATATTCTTCATGTGAAAAGATGTATTAATTAAATCTGCCACTCAGTTATAGACTCTTTTTATTTACGTAGAAATGGTAAACAAAATCGGTATGTTAACGAATGATCTAACTATTATATCCTAGTAAATACTGTCCACAACCTTTCCATGGTTTATAAAACACGGTTGGTTACATAGCCCTTGATAACACAGTTAATCCAAGCCCAAATAGCTTTTCTTGTTCCTGACTGAGGAGCTGAAACATGACGATAAAAATTAGACAACGTTTGCCTAGTTATATTAAATCCCAATTGCCCAATGTCATCTGCTAAAGATTTGTACGTGATTCCAAAATGTGCTTTCTCATAATCGAACAATTTGACAAATAACTTCCACAACATTTCGGTTTCAGTAGTATATGCCCGAGGATATTTACCATATTTTTGGTAAATGGGCGTATTGATTACTTCTTTGCGGAATACCAATTTTTCTTTCGTTTGCTGAGGTTCAACTAGTTTATTAACCGAGGACATTTTGACATCTTTTATCTGATGTTTCTGATGTTCGACTAACTTATTAACTGAGGACATTTTGACGACGATACCAACAACGAATTTCCCTACTTTTGCAACCAAGTAGATTTTATTGGTAAGTTTGTCCTTTTTCTGCATCCAGGGAACGAAAACTTTTTTGAATATTATTGTATATAAGGACTGGATGCTAATAGCAATGTGCACTTCTTTGTCACCACTTGAATCGTAAGGTACCAAAATGCCATTTGAATAATGTAGAATTATTTTTTGATCCTGGTCTTTAGAGGTCAAGACCTTGTCATGTGGATCGTTGAAGGAAGCTGGGTCGGCTTTTGTTAATAACGCAACTTTGCTCCGAATTAATAATTCAAGAACTTGATGAATTACTCTACCCCAGGATTCATCGAAATCATAGTTATTTCCATCGGCAATTTCTATTAATGTTTAACTATCAGTACCTTTAATAGTTTAAATATTATTTAAACGAAATAGTATATTAATACCTTTGGACGAAATGGACAGGTCTTCGAACATTTTTTTTTAGGAATCTCATTCTTTTGAGAAATAAAATTTTCTATTAAATATGATAAATATGACATCAACCCGACGTATATGTCACATAATCATGCAATCATGCAGGTTTGTGCGACACAGCTGATAGGTGGCGTAATTACTGCGCATAGCATGTACTGCGGAGAAGAATAAATGACGTTTTACTGTGCACGATATCTAAGCCACCCACATGATTCGAAAAAAAGTATTCACCTTGGTTCATGCGTACTGCGACCATTTTTCCATATTATGACAAAAATTTAAAAATGACGCCAAATTAGTGTTAAAAATTTCGTGGCACATTAAAATAGTTGGCCATGTGGATACTGTGTGGATTATTGTTTGCTACTGTATACTGTATATGTATTTTTTCCCTACATATTTGGTATCTGAAGAAACTATAAAAGGGAAACGATAACATACTGGTGAGAATAGGTAAATTGTGGGCTGTTTCACTAATGATTATACATATGACTATTTTGGCAGCTGCTCTCTCAAACACAATTTTAGTGGAACTAGCTATTTCTATTTAGGCAATTCGAGATACTCATTATTAATCTGTTTCCTTAAAAGTAGAAGATTGTCGGAATTATTATTTCCCCGTATGCATGTAGTAGATTTTGTTATATTAGTTTTTTATTCGACAAAAAAAATAATACAATTAAAAAAAGAAAAATCCTTAGTATGAGATCAAGCTGCGCAGCGTGTTCCATTTGGAACTGATTTCTTCTTGCATGGATGCTTCTTGTCATAGAAGTTTTGACTGGTCACTCAAAGATGGGGTTTACCACATCGGACTTGAGGAACTCAAGGCAGTGTAATTGGACAAGGTAGATGGGTATATCTTGTCTAGTTACTACTGTAAGGATCGGTCAATTTCAAGATCATCAAATTACGGGACTAGTAGGTAAGTATAGTTTTATAATTTAGTCATACATTTTTAGTCATGTATTTTAGTTGAACATTTTTAGTCACACATTTTAGTTACGAATTTCAATATACTCTTGTTGCTCGAAAATCACTTCCTTTGGAAAGTTTAAAAACTAATTTGGTTAGTATTATAACTGTCATACCGGTCACTTACAGTTTAGTATTGCTAAGTTAGTCTTTAGACCTTCCTTCGGAAGTGGTCAGCTTCTTGGCAAAGGCGCCTTGTTAAGAAGCTAATACGTATTATTGTAGAGTATAATAAATAGATTTTGCGATGGTTTATACCTAGGTATTTTTGTGCGTTGATCAAATTTTTTTGTCCTTTGTATTACACGACAGAATTATAGTCTGAGATCATCATCTAGCCAAAAAAAGATCACTGTTATTATATGACAGTTATGATCAATGTTTTCACGTCGACAACCTTAATTATGATGAATAAGTATATGTTAATAAATAACCATATGAGAGATAACATTTCTATCAAAAAAGAAAACGAAAGTGAGCGAGGCTTCAATTTTATTAGAACATTAGGAACTTCCGACACCGGTCTTTTGTACTTTTGCAGATAACTAGGGAATAACTTTTTCGTTTGTTTTATGTTTTTCTCATTATCGTGAAAGCTCTTCTACTGCCTATAAACATGAATCCAATCTCAATCAATGAGATCATCCCACATGCTGAAAATAATAATATGTCATAATTTAGAAACAGAGCTATAGATACGTAATGATCTGGAACTGTGTTTCGGAAAATAGTTTTGCCGTTAGTTAACTTCATCTGTAATAACACTGTAAGTCTGTAATAACTAAAATGCATGTGCCATCTTGTCATCTGACACTCTGAAAAATGTTTAGAGTGTCATGTGTCATCTGGCGAATCAGAGACATGCTTACAAAGAAAGTTAAGAGATACAAAATTATTTGATAATGAGGCGCATTATTGTTGATCATTTCCAAAAGGTGGTTCTCTCTGGTATTACAAATGCCATAGCTCCACCTGATTGCTGTATTTACGTTATATCACACTGTGATTTGCATAATTTGCAAGTCTCTTACTTTTCATATGTCTATCAAAAAATATTACACGTCCACATTGTTTCATAGATAGCAATTTATTTTTTCCGAAGTTATCAGGTCCAATGACAGTAACACAAGATAGTAGAAAGAACAAAATATAGTAATTTCTTAGGCCGAGATAACATGTTTAAATGAAGAAATTCGGTCTAAACAACTTATATTACATGGTTAATGATCAATACATATTAAATAGATATAAACGCAAAAAGGACATAGGCTATGCCTACGAAGTAAATTTTATTATTTATTGGCAAGAAATAGAATAACTAATAAAACGAAAATAAATGAGTAGCAGGTTGTTTCAAGGGAGGAATCACTCGAGCCCTAACCCATAAAATGAGAGTTCCTTCCCCGTTACTCATTATTTCGTACCCATACATTAATCTTATCTAACGTTTTACTATGAGAGTTGTTCGTTTTATAAAAATTCTTTATGGTCTGTGCGCAAATATTTCCTTTACCATAATCATTTATTTCAACAGCTATTTTATTACACGCTTCATCCAATGTTAAATTTTTTTCGGTCATGATCCCGCCAACAATCTGTTTAAAACGAGTCCAAATATCATATGAAACACTCTCAGATGATATATTGGACGAAGAATTATCAGATGAAATAATCGATTCCGTTTCATTTTGTTTTTTGGCAGTCTCAGACTCTATGAACCCAGGTTCCTAGAACCTCCTTATTTAACAAGCGTGGTTGAGCGGCAAGACGCTCATTCATAGAGATCATTAACGATTTGCTCGATGTTATTAATTCTATTGAGAATGCTTGGCGCCTCCATGGCAAAATTTCAATACGTGCATTGATCGATGCGATTCCGCAGTATAATGGTTGTGGATCTCCGCATTATTAATTTCAGTGTTACATGAATCAGAGATTTTTGGGTGAAACCCACGAAGTGGCTTTAGGCTTTCTTCGAAATGTTTGACAGTATACATAATAATGGCGATCCCAATAAGTATACTGATTTTCTCGATAAAAAAAGATGAGGTAACCGCCCTAGATTCCATCTAGAACTGGAGAGATTAGTAACAAAGTTACTAAAGAATATTGTCAACTATAACAATTAATCATACGTTATGAATAATAAGCGGCAAGACGCTCAGATTAAGGACATCTGCAATGAAAATCGATTCAGTTAATGTATTTCCTGTAAATGATTCCTAGTCAAACTCGAACAAACCTTAAATAAAAATAGACACAGATAATGAGGTTATTTGTGGAGTAACAGATCAAGATTAATCAAGATCAATATTTGAAATTTAAAATTTATTAACAGTTTTATGCGGAGCGATTTTAAATGATCAAGCAACGATTTATTTTAGTAAAACTGGGCAAAGCCTACATTTTATATTTTTTCTTACGTAGAATGAGCTAACCAGGTTTAAAATATGATATCAGACGAAGACAGGCCAAAGGGCTAATGTACGTTAAAGAGAAGACAATAAAGACGATCAAGACAATAGATTATTAATAAACACTCAAAGATGAGCGCAGCACACAATTATTTTATTATCACAACCCTAACAATCAAAGAAATATGATATCATCATAGTAAACGCAACCCCCCTGATCATCTTTGCAAATCTCGCCATTGCTAGGACAAAATAGACAGGTACGGAGTACCAATATTAAACCTCCGGTCGATCAGTAAAGCTGCTAAAACGTAATAGTCAACTACGAAGCTCCATTAATCTCCGAACGTACATCATTCCTACATTAAACACTAACTGATCGCTGATGACAAATAGTTATTTAAAAAAACTCGTTAGTGTGTCTTTAGTTAGTCAGTTTCACCATTTCGAAGAAAGGCTAAAGCCACTTCGTGGGTTTCACCCAAATATACCGCTTATTTTCTGTGCCCTTTGGGCAGTCTCCGACTGATATGACAAATGCATGATCGGGAAAAAATAATCACGGGCTCTTCGAACAGTCTCCGTCTCCACGAAATGATTTTGGCGAACATGTTCGCTGTAATTTTTTATTAATATACAAAAGATAAATACAAAGTTCGGGTCTTGCCCGTAATACATGATGAAAATAAATACAAAGGTTCGGGACTTTGCCCTTGATACACGATTTGGGAGAACATTGTTCGCTGAAATCTCTATCCTAAGACTATACTACAGTATCTGAGCCGTGCTCACGAAGTGATTTTTCTTTAAGGTTGCCCGATGACCTAGGTTTTTTTATTGCCCTCTCCTCACTTAGAGAAGCTGAATCCGGTTTCTGTACCTCCTCCAATAACCATGCAATATGTCCGAGAACTCTTTCAACATTACCTCCCATGTTTTCACTATCATATACAACAGTTACAGGCTTCGATAGTTTGAATCTTAACCTGTCCTGGTCATCGAGCGAACATTCCATAAAATACCATTCTTTTGCATCTGTGATGATCCCAAAAGTCTTACCCGTAAACACACTTTCCTCCTCCATCTCGTTTGCCTTACGTTTGCGGTTTGATAATGCGGACTCGAGCTGTACGGCATTCTGAGCAATGCCCTTGAAAATATCTTCGTCCTTAACTTCTGTCACACCAACAGTTTTTGCAGTTTGAAGTAAGTCTATTGCGAAATCAACTGGTCCGTGACCATTGGGTCCTGTGATGTTTTTTTCTGGTCGAAGCTCGAACTTTCCCTCGTATAGATTTATCCCGGAAACAAGGTAAGAACAAACATATTGCGATTTTGATGCTTCATTTCCACTGATTGGAATAGCCTTGAGACGAGCGTTCAGCTCCGCAGTAAGATGTTTAAGTATTGCCTTGGAAGAATCCTCTTTCAGTTCTTTATACTCGCAAGTGAAAGGCGGGAACACTGATAATGAGGGATCGTCTGATTCTCCAAGACCATAAAGCTGACACACCTTCGGGAACGACCAATCTGAAAATGGTTTTGATGGCGTCTCAATGAACACGGTGAACTTGAGATTGTTCTTCGATACGAATATGTGGAGCATCTCACGAAGGCCCTGATCATTTCGAGGAGAGAATTTTCCACTGTCATTTAACATGCTAAGTTCCGCTCCATCATTCTCGAGTGCTGGTGTCTTGTGCACTCCACGTATGTGTTCTTTGAGGCCATCGAGGGTTGCGTGTTCGATATTCACGGTCCACTTGAAGCTCTTCGTTCGTTTCGGACTCACGACAACATCGAACGCTGTAATACAATAACAGGTTAGTCTCATGACCTGAAGATTTCCGTAACGGGCCCACTGAAAAAATACGTACCATGGACAGACTTGTTGAGTAATGCCCGTAATGTGGTGAGTTCGTCAAGTAGTTCCTGCTCACGACTTGAAGTGGCAGTTGATTGGGGTGGTTCAACTAAGACGTGAATATGCTTCCTGGGAGGCTTCTCGGACCAGTAGTCTCCAATTTCGTTTATTGCCGACAGCTCGTTATTGTCATTGAGTATGAGATTCTTCAATGGATCGTCAAGGTGATCGCCACCAATTTCTACCTTCCATAGCCTGAGTTCGTCAGCCTCTACACCATGAAAAGTTTTATGTTTTTTCGCTTTTATAGCCTCCTTGAGGTGGCTGACAGCCTTTCCACTATCAATATCAACTGCAAAAGCATTTGCGGTAGTAATTCCTTTGACAAGACAAAATAACGTGATAGACATAACTACTTTTATAGTAACTTTTGTTAAATTTTATTGGTGGAAATTGACGTATGTGAGGACAAGAGTAAAAAAAAAATTATTTGAGAAAAAAATACCAAGTGGTACTATATGTGAGAAATTCAGTCGTTGCACAGACCCTGTAGTATGACGCATTTTTCGTCGCACAGGAGTACATGCATGTGGTTCGAAGGGGTAGCTCAGCAAAAATTCCGAGCTGTTGATCGTTGCTCCGGACTACAGTAACACAATGTAGTGAGATAGAACTACCTCGGCCTACGGTGATCACAGCGTGATTCCGTGTTTAAATCAAGAAATAATTAATCGAAAATTTATTATTTACAAGGTTTCCGAAGCAACTACTATACAGTTTCACATCACAAAATCTGTAACACTATTTACTCTTCGTATTTCTTTCTTCATACTTCTTTCTCAACTCAAAAAGCGAAGTCCCCACAAAAAAGTATGGAAAGGGGTTGTTGTTAGGTTTTAACTTGTTATTATCATTGAAACGACGATCATTATTAATGTCATCGACAACCGTCTTTTCAAGTTGAGTTAAAGATTTTGATAAAGATTCTTGAGAATCGTCAGGGAGCGAAGTAATAATTTGATTGTTTTCATTGACGTTTACAATTTTACGTACGAAACTAACTGTGCCATGAGTATTGGAATTTCTACAATATAGCAATAGATCACCTTGCTTGATATATCCTTCATTGAATAACTGATATAGAAATACATCTTTGGATGCATTAACATTTCGAGATGCATCAATTTCTGTTTCCAAAATTGAAAGTTACTGATTTGTTCCGAATGTGCGCTTGAAAAATAAAAAAAGATACCTGGAGTCTTTTTTGTCTTATCTAGGGATAAGGATTCTAATTGTTCTTCTACTTCCTTATCTTTAAACAAATAAAATTGTCATATTAACCCGCATTCTTCCATGATAAGGAATATTCATAAATTCTTACCTCGTTTATCATTGAGCTCTTTAACTAATTCCATGATTGCGACTGCATGCGTGAATTTAATTTTGAACTCCTCCGAAACAAGAATTCCTGCGGTCAACTGAAAGAGACATTTTCCATTAACTCCCCCATCTTTGATAGCTTTGATATCATCTTCATCAAAGCCATCCATTTTAAATGTCAGATATGTTTCAACATCATCTATACTCCACTTTGCGACATCTTTAGGAAGTTCGTCAGCCATCTTTTCGTACCTGTTAAAACCCATTATAATAAAGCTATGAATTTATAATTCAATTTTTCTCACCCTTTCCCACACACAAAAGACCAGTAGGGAAACAATCATCGTCAACCGCTGCGGCTAATGATCAGGAAGAATTATATCCCTTCCGGCATGATGATATTGATCGGAGTAACACAATGGATGTGTTTATCAATAAACTGTTACTATTATATACTAGTGATAAGCTCACACTCTGAGCAATTTTTTACTTCATAGCTCCGCTAGAGTATCACGTGTCCTCTCCAACTAATAATCGTCACGTATTGTGTATCACATAAGAGTATCGATATTAATATGGAACGTTTATCGTGCAGATTTATTAAAAAGATGTGTTAAGAGCTGTCACCGATTAGAGGGGTGCCACTTACATTGGCAAACAAAAGCATAAAAACCCATGTAAGATATGTGGTAAACCTACTTCGTTGCGGTAACGAAGTGTTCATATATGAAAGTAAACAATTAAGATACGGTATATTGATCCAATAATATCTTGTGAATATTGCTTTATTTGGCATTGTAAAATTCTTGTTTGATATGGAAATACATTCAGTATACAGTACATATATCAACTAATGAAAATAATTATCCCATTGTCGTTGACAATACCACCTAACTAAACTATGCTATCGGTACACGTATTTTTTTAGGGGATGAATTTGACTTTCGACAATATGAATGGCGGTTTAATGAAGATCCAGTTGGTAAATGGGATGAGATTATGGTATTAATCGTGGATTTTACCCGTTCCTAAGTAAATAAATAAAAGATGAGAATAAAAGATGAGAATAAACTGCGGAGTTACAGGTTTAAAGATTTATGAAGTAAAGTTCTTACCAATAATGAATATAGGGTCGATACTACGGTGATGATGTTCAAAAAATTCGCATTTTCAGTCGGGAGCAATACTTTCGATATTAGATTGCAACGGTATAGGCCATCATATGTCAAATCGGTGCTAAAAATTTTAATTTCACTCCCTATTGGTTTTATATCTGATTAGTTCGATAAACAAACACTAGCAAACCCATATAGTTATTCTTACCACAAATTAATATGCCATATGTTTCCAGACCAGCCACGTAACCGTAAACGTTAATAAGATAGTCTAAAGACCCTTTCATAAATTCTGCTAACTTTATAATGCGTTGATTTACAGCGATAGTGCAATGAGGTGGCTTTATCTCGCCAAATATGAGCTCCCTGTCTGCTTTTTCAATATTTACGAGAATCCGAAAGTCTGGCTTCCTACCATGGTTGTGACCATCCAATAAACGTCTCTCTTTAGAACTTTCGGATTCGCCATTTGCCCTGTTTCAATAATAAGATGTGAGCATATATTTACACTACTTGGAAAAAAGTAGGCGGACACCATATTTATTAATTACTCAAAAACGTACATAATAAGTGGGGTCAAAATTTTAAATTTTATTAGTTAAACCATATACAAAACTAATATTTAGTTGGCCATCCATTATTCTTAATACACGCCTCAACCCTGCGTGGCATACTTTCAATTAAATTAATTAACGTATTATTAGGAATTTGATTCCATTCTTCATGTAAAGCACACTCCAATTCTCTCACATTTTTTGCAGGATTGGGACGTTTTCTAATGCGCCTTTCCAGCTCTGACCATAGGTGCTCGATAGGATTTAAGTCAGGTGACTGACTCGGCCAATTTTCTAAAATTTTAACCTTTTTTGTTTCTATCCATTTTTTAACATTTTTAGCGGTGTGGACAGGGGCGTTATCATCTTGGAATAAATAACCTCGTCCATTATAATTATTATTAATAAATGGAAGTAAATGTGATTCGAGTATTTGTATATAGTCACGATGGTTCATTTTACCATTAATTTTTATTAGCGGCCCTAACCCCTTTCCTGAGAAACAACCCCACATCATTACACCTCCACCACCATGTTTTATTGAAGGAACCATGTTTTTAACATTAAACCTTGTTCCGGGGGTTCTCCAAACACGACCTGGACCATCATTTTTAAATATAGTAAAGCGGCTTTCATCGCTCCAAATAACTGACTTCCATTTTCTAACAGACCAGTCTTTCCTTTCAATACACCAGTTTAAACGATTTTCTCTTTGTTTATCATTAAGAAGAGGTTTGAATGCTGGAATACGTGAAAAAATATTAAGTTCATGCAAATTTTTCCTTATAGTCTTGGTAGTAACTTGTAGTCCAGTTTTCTCTTGAAAATTATTTTTTATTTGTTCAGCTGATTGACGATTATTTGTTTTGACAATTTTTTTTAATGTTTTTTGGTGTTGGCAATTTAAAAGTTTAGGACGACCACTTCGTGGCTGAGTTTCAAGACTTTTTCCTTCACAAAAGATTTGAATAGTTCGGTAAACTGCTGTTCTAGAAAAGCCAAGCATTTTAATAATTTTTTGTCTGGTGGCGCCACCTTTAAATAGACCAATAATCTGGTTGCGTTCAGCTTCCGTTAAATCATACATGGTGCGAAGTAGTACAAAATCCTAATTTGTCGATCACATTTGATGGTTGTCTATAAATGAAATAACAATTACGTCATTGTTTATTTATACCATAAACTATCACGTGATAAAATTTCAGCCCAAATTATTATGTACATCTTGGAGTAATTAATAAAATATGACGTCCGCCTACTTTTTTCCAAGTAGTGTATATACTCTAGTTAACATTTATGGTGATCATAAGAATCTTACCAAACTAATGAAAATTCGGCTTTATTAAAAATTTCCTCAAGTATTTGATGACAGTACCGATGGACAAACGTATCTTCATCCATTTTTTTATTCTCATTGTAACTCACCGAGGATAAATAGGTAATGCTGTGGGAAAAAAATGAGTATCAATGATAAATTGGTGAAATAGGTTTATTAAACTAAGAACGTACAAATTCCTTGCAACTATCTGCACACAATCAAAAATGTCTTTGTCTTCGCTTGTTAATAATGTATTCCCTTTTACCCAATTATTACGCCACTTTGTCTCAAGTTGTTCTTTGTCGCTCAAAAGCTAAAAAACAAATAAACGATTAATGTGGTTACTGATTGCTTATAATGATTGCAAGGAGGTACTTACCCTGTTGTATTCAATTATTACTAGGTCAGCGACTGTTGGCAACTCTTTCGGGACCAATAATCTCGGACGAGCCTCTTTCCATATCTTTTCAGAACACTTGACATATTCTGGTTTAAGTTCATTGCAATACATAATCGACGACAGGCACCTGTAAGTGATTACGGAGTAAGGATTATGGCAAATTTCTGTATTTTTTGGACGCACCCTACGGATGGTTTCACTAGCCCAGTCTCCGACAGCATAAAAACTTACAATATCTTATCGATTTCTTTCGCATATGATAAAATTGGATTGGTTTTCAACTTTTCGATTGATTCCACTTGTAATTTACGAAAATCAGTAGAGATGTTGTACCCATCCGGTGTTATCCACTATATAAAAAGAACGGGATATGACTATACCAGGACAAAGACGCCACAAACCCATATTACAATACTTACATCATTCTTGGAGACATTATTTATGACAACATTATCAATCGCATGACTCCACGATAAAATGACCTTAGATAATACGGACTAAATTAACTATTGTTTATTTTGAACGGCTGTACACCAACTTTCACTAACCTTATATTTCGTTGAACCTTCCCCTGTTTGTGCTATAAAGGGATTATTGTCGTTCCCATGGCCTACATCAGAATCGTTGTGGCAATTTGGCTTTGAGAGGAATGCAGATTAGAAACATAATACAGAAAGTAAAATAAAAATCGTCAAAATTCATGTCAGAATTTACCGAAAAGAGAGAACCATCATCTCCCCTTTCCTCAGGAGAACTATGTGTTTCATCTTCTACATTCCTTTGTTGTTCTGGAGTCTGACTTTTGCCATCTTCGATAGTAGTTTCGGCCTACGTTCAAGTTTATTTTGTTTATAACAAATTTAAGGAGGACCTTTAATCTCAGTCAGAGACTGCTCGAAGAGCAAAATATTGGTTAAAAATTTCTTACAGGCTTTTGTTTTTTTCCCCTTCTGATTGCTATCATTTCGTCAATGGGTTGTTTATCATACTCATAGAAGCGTTTATGTCCTTGAATAATATTCCCGGCTCCGATTTGTAAACTACCACGAGATAAATCACAAGATAAAAATACATTTTCAGCGTTTATCTCGTTATTCTCCACCGCATTATGTTGTTTCATTCTAGGTAAGGACTTCAACCAAAAATTATCGATGCGTCCCATCTTTTTGGAATCGACCTTATACGAAAAATATACAAGTTAATGTATCAAGGCTATCAAAAACTAAAAAAATAAGAGAACTAGTAGCGGACTAGCTAGACTACAGCGGAGACGAAGTCCATAACTATGCGAAGGCGAAGTTCCATAGGTAGCTGTATCCAACAGCGGAGACGAAGTCCATAACCATGCGAAGATGAAGTTCCATGGGTAGCTGTAGTAGCGGAGACGAAGTCCATAACCATGTGAAGACGAAGTTCCATGGGTAGCTACTGCTAGCAAATAAGCGGTCACGTAAATTACGGAGAATGCTAACCTGAAATTGTTTTTCGAGACGTATTGCATTATTCTTCTCTTCTTCCGTGCCTTGTTCTTTTATCTTCTGCAACTGTGTGTTAAATCTTCTCGTTACGCTCGCTTTATCTAAACCGAAGTTGCTTTTTTTCCAAAACTCGTGGTACTGAACCACGTCCCAGTCATTGCACGGAGTATTTAGGAAATAATCGAAGCCTGGTCCAGGTTCTTTAATTTCAGATAACATTTTTATGGTGAGAGAAGTCAGTTTCAACTTATTCGCTCATTTTTTACTCCACATTTTACACTCATCGGGAATACCAACCACATCTTGTATTTCCATAGAGAGTAAAGTATAAACAGATAACCCGATATAGTAAATGACTTTGATGAACAGATAATTATATGTTGTCCACTAGTATTGAAAACAACGAGATCGTGACCCAAGGTCTCAGTCGTCTTATATCACAGTTATTTCTTCTCCGCAGGTTAGTCTACTGCTAAAGAACATATAGCAGCCAAGTATTTCTAGTGGCAATAAAAATACAGGACGTAGCTAAAAGTAACAAAAACTTAAACACATAACAAAGACGATTTCTCACAATATGGGAATACCAACAGCGAAGTTTTCCGTTTTTATTCTTAGACTTATGGGTTAATCCAGAATAGGTAAATCATAGCATTTTGTACAAGCCCGCAGTTTCACTAAATAATTCAGGGGATGTACTCTGTGTCACAAAATTTCACTGTAATTAAACTACCCTAGCGTTCCCAAGAAAAAAAGCACTTGGTGGCCGGCATTATGCGGAATTATGCACTGTCACGTGAACAGTGCGGTGACAAATAATGCGTGACGAATAAGTTTTTACCAACTCGAAAAAAACTAAGTCCCTCAGATAAATATAAACAATGAAAACACTGAGGGGTGTGACGGATGTGATGATTTTTTACATGGTCACGTGTCAAGTGCTTTTTTTCTTGGGAACGCTAGGGATGATCTGTAATTAGGATCTGTGAATTGTATCATTGGTCGACTATGTGATTCGCAGATCATTGTGTAATTTACGTGATGCATTTTTGAAAAAAAAATGCAGTAGAGTTCTATTACTAGCCCCTACTAAATTTGTCGTCAGCTAGCCATAGGTTTTTTCTTATAAATAGCTTGTAACTGATTTTTTCAAGGCAAATAAGTTGTATATATGTCCCGGCTTAGAGCATAATATGAGCGGTTAAAATTTTCATTGCGTGATCGCACAGATCCAGAATTTGATCTTTCAGCATTTCAATTCTTTCTCTTCGTTATCAACAATATCAATATACCTATTCGCAATTCGTAGACGAGTTTATACTAATGGACAAATGAAATGGCTGCAGTACATTATGAATTAATGTGTCATGATGCGAACAAAGCATTTCACAAACAACCTGCAGAAATAATTTTAAATAAGTAAGTAAGTAAGTACAGTATATCGTAACTCGTAAGACCAGCTATGACAGAGTTTATGGCTATATTCAGTTAACTTTGGCTACGAGGTATGTAATTAAAAAAATATGTATACATATATGAGTTATTTATTGCCTTGCTTACATTCCTGTTATTTGTCTGGTCGCTCAAACTTCATAATTTCATGGAATGGGCCATTTCTTCGAAAGGCTACGCCAAGGCCTCTTTGTCCCTCGTTCCTCGAAAAATCATGAAGATTTTTTTGTATTTATCTTTTCATGTAATCGTCTACGTAATTGAATGACCGTCTTGCCGCTCAACCACGCCGTTAACAGAGGAGGTTCTAGGAACCTACGTTCATAGGGCAAGACGCTCAGGGGACACTGTAAGGACCAGTTAATTTCGGGACATGTTATAACAAGAAAGTTATTGTAACTCAGTCTACAAACGGGGATTCAAGAATGTGTCATGTCTATCACACCGAAGATCAAGTTACAAGTTGCAACATAGTAAAAAAAAGGGAGGTATAGCGATAGTTAATTACTAGGTAGGAGTTGGTCATTAAAATATTGGGAGGTTTTTGTGTCATATAAGAAAGAGGCCGTTCCATTTTTTTCACATGTTGCCTTGGACTTTTAGAAAAAAGAGTTATCGCATAGTGTTCGACTGCAATCAAGATCACAAATAGGTACGTGTTTTCGGTATACTTGCGGAGTTGGATTTGACAAATTAATCGTTAATGGCTGTCATCGAACGATGAAATGACAATATTAACATTGGTATTATCTTGGATTCATTTGTTGCCAATAGCTAGTTAGCGTATGATCGTCGAATACCTGATTATGCCACTGTTCGAATTCTTGCTCTTGATGGTATAAGTTATTCTGAAATTTAATGCAACGCTAGTCATGGTGGGCACTAACGTGATGGAGACTTGTACCATAGAACTCTTAGGTTGTGAAGTAAATCTTTCTTTGAAAAAAGTAGAACGTTTGCCCACATTAAAATAACCAAGTGAAAACGCTAACTTGCCCAGACGTCATTGTTACTTTGTAATTACAAAAAAAATTATATTTAGGATCTCGTGGAGTAATAGAATTGGAGGTCAATGTAGTTACGAAAGATATATGGACAAATTACTTCTCCTGCGTTGTTCTATTATAATTATGTAGTCAGAATATCGGATGCAACGATAGAAAGCAATTTTTGTCTTGTGATATCAAGGTACATGGAAATGATATATTAATCAAAAATGGCAACCGGAGCAAAAAATCAGTAGCAGTGCAAACTATGAAATAGTTTCACGAACTATGTTCTAAAGAAATACATGAGGAAGTAGCGGACACATAGTTTTCATTAACGATGTAAGAAAGAAGATAATAACTGCTTGCTTTATTTTTTCATCTCGCACATAACATATTATTTTTTTTAATTTGAGCTACAAATCAATAAAATTATTAGTCTTATTCCGCAATACACTACCGAAACTATGAAGTGATTACATTACATTTTAAGTATAGATATCGTAATATTCTACGTAACACGTACGTTTGATTCTTTCAGAATAGTTACTATTCTAAACGAGAATGTTTTCACATGTTGACTTCTCTACTAAAATTTCTATCGTTCTGAATAAATTTATCATAATAGTGATGATACGATGTATGTAACTTGTATTGATCAACCATTTGCATTAAAATTTTAAAACTATTACTTCTCGCTATGCAATACCTCCAGTTCACAAAATTTATTCATTTATTCTAAGACCGAGATTTCATCACGATATTACTAATCGTTATATGTGGTAATGGTTATGTAATTTTAATCTACGTCATTACCATGTGACACTCTGAACTGACCGTCTTGCCGCTCAACCACGCTTTTAACAGAGGAACCTGGGTTCCTGGAATTAGAGTATCACGTGTTATCCGCAGGACTATTAATTGTTTGCTACTATCGAGTGCTCTATAGCAAATCGTCGAATAATTTCTCATCTCTGTTCTTAGAAACAATAAATTACTGTGATTTATCAACAAAGTGAACTACTTCCTCGACTAGTAGCTTTTTCTGGGAATTATCTTGGCAAAAATGAGTTGCAGCATCATTACTCAGTAACTCGACAAAAACTCTATTTTATTGAATTTTCTATTCACGTAATTCTTGGATTATTTAGTCAAGTATTCGATGATAATTATATTGTATTTTTGTTGTCGCTCATTACCCTCTCCATCAACAAGTCATTTACAAAAAGTGTTGTTAATAATGACAGATTGTAGAATAATTGGATATCAGAGATTGTTTCGATTACTAAAAAAACAATTACCGTAGTCCCGCTAGTGATGATTTTTCTGCATCCATTGATATTTGTAGTCGAATATTGTTATTGGTATTTGTAGTCGAATGCTTGATGTTATTAATTGCATCCATATTAACTTGTACTAGTGTTTCGATTACTGAAAACAAAATCAGCTATTTTCTTTGCATTACGAAATTATCCTTATCGATAACCTATTCGACTGTGATCGTATATACGATTATAGCGTCCAACCTCTACACTACTAATCCTATTAAAAAATTATAATTACATGGTATTCTTTCCGTGATCAGATAATATGTTCAATAATGGATACGGCCAAAATTTTTTTTCGAACTATCACCTCCCATGCACAAATATTTATACCAATTATTCGTATATATCATATGTTGATTTACTCATCAGACATGGCTGATGTCACCAGTCCACTAACTAAATATAATAAAATACTTGTAATCATTAATATGACTCTATGTAATTTCCGATCTTTACATAAAATAAAATAAAAAAAATCATTAATATGACAAATAATAGTACGGATGCATAAAATATAAATACCTTGTGGCCAAATAGAATATATTGTTCCTGTACATCATCGCACTCAAGAGTTGAGATTGTTAGATATGCTCCATATACAGTATCAATTACAATAGTATCATCATTATATCCTTGTCTGAATCTTTTTTCATTCATGTGGATCACTAGTGAAGTTAAATAGCAAACGGAATATTTTTCGTTTTTTTTGTTAATAACATTTGCTAAAGTAGAACAATATACAGATTATACAATAAGAGAAAATTCGCCAACCACATACTTGAAATACAAATAACGCATGGTAGTTTATTACACGGTTGACATTAGAGCTTCGCTCACTAGTATAATCAACACTTTTACAGAGTGATTTCATATCTACTAAATGATGTACTATATGTTAGTTACGGATTAACACAGATAAGAAAAAATAATGCTCGACTACTAATTATGATAATGATTTTGTTTGGAACTAACGTTACCTGTTATCTGTTAGTAGTTCGGGTACCTTCAGGTATAAATTATGGGAAAATCTTTTTGCATCGCTTCTCGTTAAAATAAAGTTGGCACCTCGTGTTATTGTCGGAAATGGCATACAAAGATTTCCTCTCCCTATAACATATTGTACTTACAGAGTCTGTTCTAAGTAATCGAGACTAAATGCAGTTCCACTTAAAGTGTTGACTATTGTTTGCGATTACTAATAACAAGAGAATACGGAAAATTTTTTCTATGTAGCACATCACATTCTTATCGTAGTTAGTGTATTGGAATAAAACTATCCAGGTATAGAAATTTTACCGCAGTCGTGCATTTAACGTAGCATGATTTTACTTTGTTGGAATCTCGTACAACTTCTTTGTGAAACAATATATGTCGTGTTGAAAATAGACATAGTATACTGCGCAACTAACAGGGAAGACATTTTCCATAAAGGGAACAATAATAAATTATACAATATTGCTATTAGGTAGTCTATCGTTTGTATTACATTACAATTTGTTAATAAGTCCGGGAACAAAATTTGTACTACATGTGCGCAGTTTCAAAAGTATGAAATAAGACAACTGTGATCTTGGGTCACGGTCTCACTGTTGGGCATTTATTTATGAAAGAACAAGCAACATATCCGAATATGATTGTTAAAATCACGTGACTCTGATCGTTCCCCTTCATTATTTTCACGTTCCTCGAAAAATCATGAAGATAATTTGTATACATTTTTTTACGAGATATATACGTATATGAAAATACATTAATCATGTCTGCAGGAAAAATCTGTATGATTTTCTGAACGAAGTGAAGGAAATTATACAGGGGAACTGTTTTTCGGAAAAAAAATTTTACGCACCAATTATTAAATGTAACGATAAGGCATAATTTTTTCTGTTGTTCGATGCCGTGTAACTTCAATAATGATCAACCAATAATATGGGATTAGCTCTTTTGGTATTAGATGTATTCCTTATATAGAAAACACATTTCAGTATAAATACCTGAAAGACTAATATGTCTGTTAATAAGTTTAGTCCGAAATTTCTAAATATAGTAATAGTATCGTTAATCTAGACCCGAACATTTTATTTGAAATCGCCAATCACTTTTACCAAGCATTTTTTGACCATGAAACGGGAGTGAAATAGATTTCATAATGAATGTGGAAACAGTTGTACTCAAGTACAAATAATAAAAGGTTGAGATTAGTAGTGGGAAGGTAACTATTTTTTAGAAGGACTTTGCTTTATCAACGTGAACACATTTATTTTCAATAAACTGTTATCAGGTAGTTATTAGTTGTAATTAAATATGTTAATACAAACGAAAAATCACAACCAACAAATATTTTCTTTATCGTTGCGTAATATACATAGTATATATAATGGATTGATAGAACACGATAGAGCTCCCAACTTCCGGATGAGTAATCCTTTTGTTTTCGATTACTGTTGTTGATGACTTTGTCTATATCTCATCCTGTTTGTATGATTTCTTTTGAGAATTATGTGATTTCTAGACCAGAGACGATAACGAGGATAGCAGGAACGTTAACATCTGTTTGGAAGAAGAAAAAACAAAACCGTTTAGACATAAATATATGAACACGACATCAATAACGGGATTTCAATCACGTATATATTTTGTTGATAGTACTTCGAAACTGGTAATAGAAAGCGAAGGATATCTAGCATGAAGATCTATTCTTTTTAAAGTCAAATTGAGATCAGAACTAATTACGAACAAACGACATACTCGAACAATTAAAAAAATCCAATTTAAAAAAAAAAAATATTTATTGTAGGGCACTCAATTAATCTGTCAACTTTTTTTCAGGAAAGTTCTGGCATAATACACGTAATACGATTTACGATTTATCTATTCTATATATAAGATCGATCGATTTGTACAGAGTAGTAATAAAATCAACGCAAAAATTCAGATCTATAAAAAAAAAGATTACTTATAACTGTGTAAATAAATATATATACGACATATTGTACTCTTGACTTACTTTCATTATCTAATTTGCCAATAAATCATATAATTATTCATCTCCATCTTGTACAAACTGCCTAATAATCAAGAAGACAAGAGAAAAAATCGATGCATCAATCGACATATCAACCGAAAATTTTAACATCATTGAACTGAAACAGCAGAGCAAATCAATTTCTTGAAAATGAAAAATACTTACTCTCTCATTCAAAAGATATCGTTAATGGTGAAGTGCAAGAACATGAAAACCCAGAATATCTAATGAAACATAAAACAAACTTACCTTCTACTGTAAGATTACAAGTAGGCTGTTGAGTGATGTTTCTTATCAACAAGTATATTGATAAGCAAATCTGTAATGGTACAATTGGTATTGTCACAGATATAAATAAGGAACAAGAAATAGCAAGAGTGGCATTTCGCATAAATAGAGGAATAATTGATGTTGAAATACATTTAGACTGAGCTGGTACATTTTAACATTAATGGTATGTCTGCATGCAGAATCCAATTTCCATTACAAAACGCTTTCGCCCTAACAGTTCATAAAACACAAGCAATAACATTACCAAAGGCATCACTTCATTTAGATGACCAAATGTTTGCAGGTCAGGCATATGTTGCAATAAGTAGATGCAGGTCTTGGGATGATGTAGAAATACTTTCTCTTACATTGGATGCATTTAAAGTGGATGAAAAAGTCAAAAAAGAATACATTAGGTTAGAACAAATATCAAGTAATGTACTCTATTTAAAACATTAAGACATAAATTTCATATACGTTATGTCAAAATTTATATCAGTCTATACAATTTCTATTTAAAGTTAAGTACATTATTTGGCACCATTAAAAAGGTTTACTTAAAGCATCTAACAAATGGGGGACGAAGTCCACATGTTGGCGATCCCTAGTTAATATAACAATTAAATTTTTTTTTATATTGATTACATATTTACAGTACTATTACAGTTAATTGATTTAAAAATCACACTCCCCACATTTTTTTAAAAAACCCGTTTTTTACCTACCACTTTTCAAAAAAAAATTCCGATGACGGTACTATGTTACACCAAATTTTTTTTATAAATAGCCCCACGGATTGCTCCGATTTTTTTTTCCCGCAATTTTGGAAATTTTGGTATTTAACGTTTTTTTAAAAATATTTTGTCATCTTCAGACGCAAAATATAAGTATGTTAGTAGTAAGCATTATATAAGAGGCAAGGTAGAAGAAGCCTGATTATCGATACTATAACTCGACAACAATAGATATAATAACAATCTTAAATGAAACCATAAAGAAAATTATTTTGAAGAAAAAAACTTTTATGGAACTTATCGATCTTGGCATGTCATTCGAATGACCTTAAACGAAATTCAAATGACCATAGCTTTACTATAAAGTTAAAGCGTTTTCCATTAGATTAAATAATATAATCAGACATAACCGTGCAAATTAATCATAATTTATTACCAAATCGAAAATTCAGTCATAACGTAGAATTTATATTCCTGTGCTTCATTTGCTGCATCATAAAGTAAATAGTATTATTTATAGTAAGAACTTTATCGTAATTACGTAATAATTAACAAAGATAACCGATTCAGCGAGAACTGAACCCTACCTAAGTGTTTCACCAAGATCATAGTTCATAATCATTACACACAAAAACGTGATCCCTGATAAAAATTTTCGAAGTATCTAGAACATTTCATCATCATATTTTAATATAAATACGACATGAGTCGATATGAATCAAGCGGTTCATCAGTACAAACTGAAATCGAAAAAATTTTCCCACCTGAAAATACAAGATTGTATACAAGGTCTTTATTTGTTATTTTACTGAAAGGTTGATTTTTTGACCCTTGTTTTAACCCTCGATTTTTGCATTTGCAGATATTTCACCGAAATCATGATATTTTGTTTTGTGATAGGTACCGATCTTGGTAGCGTCTTTAAAGTTGTCGGCAAGGAAGAAACGACCATTGCGGAGCTCAAAGATATGATCTATGAGAAGAATATGAACGATTTCAAAGACAAAAAAATTGATGCCAACAAGTTGAACCTATGGTTGGTTGATATTCCTTACGATACAAATAACTCTAAACTGAGTACACTTCAAAGCAGACGTGATATGGATAAAGAAAATATTATTATACAAGAACTCGGAGGTAAAAAGTTGTCTCCAGTTGATGATATTGGCGACATCTTTACGTCTAACTCCAAGAACATTCGTATCATCGTACAACCTCCGGCCACTACTGGTAAGTGTCTCCTCTCGAACAAGAAATTTGCAGTAACAAAATATCGATCACCTTTAACCTTGCACTGTATCATATTCTTTTTTTAATTATCTTTCATATCTTTGTAGCCTCCGTTTATACTGGTAAGGTATCTCAACGTTTTTTGCTAATAATATCGTATATTACTCACGTTCATTGTTATTTGCTTTCTATATGGTTACGCAGAGAAGAATATCGATGCTATAATTGGTTTGTAACATTGTCAGTCTTATAAGTTGTATTTTTTGAAAACCTTCTCTTTACTGTTTATTCTTGTTTCTAGGTGATTTACGAAAGACTTTTCCTCATGTCGATGGTGTCGATTTACCTTTTTTTCGTAAACTGGCTCAGAGTCTCGCCGTAATTTGGGATCGTTCACATGACTTTTCATTCGAAACTCCGAACAACCCATACGTCAAGCTGAAACAGAGCCCTTCAATTTTCAAAACACCCCTACCCTATGGTGTTACTAAAAGGACGTGTGATAGAATCGATCTTTGCCTCCCTCCTTTTGAAGTGAATACTGAAATGACCTATAAGAATCCCCTATACCACGAACCGCAATTTCTAGAGACCGTTAGATTGGTGCGAAATAAAATTAAAAAGTATGAACAAGATATTATTGTGCTTGCCGGAGTCACAGGAGGGGGGAAAACGTCAACTACATTTGCCATTGCTGCAGAACTTTGGGCAGTACATATAGACTGTTCCAATTTTCTTTCAGAATATAATAATCAATTTTCTGATCTACTCGGTGCAGTTAGAGCGAAAACTCCACCTTTCAATGATACCACACTCCAGGAGTGGGCACTTCGCCAGCTCGACATAGATTTCGTCTCACGTATGTTAATACTAGTCAAAATGTATGTAGAGCAAAAAATCAAAACACCAAAGGATTGGCTATTGGCACAACTTTATAGTTTAGATAAGAAAAGTATAAACCTTATTTGCGAAAACCTGTCAGAACTGAGCACAAGAGAATTGTCGATACTTATACATTTCATCAATCAATGTCTTAAAATTGAACGGATCCTCTTTATCCAAGATGAGGCGCAATGTCTTTGCCGACCTGAATACGGAGAATACACTGGAAGTAATGAATCAAACAAACCATGGAATTTTTTGCAGGCCTATACTTATCACATGATCGCTTTCAAATTTGAAGTTACACACTTTATTTCTGGCACTAATATGCATATGTCAAGCGGAATATCCCTAGTTACTAGTGTTGGAAAAGAACCATCTCGAGCAGTGCATCTTGTGTTGAAACTCCCTTATCTCTCACCTGATGATGTTACCAAAGTTCTCGACACTGTAATCAATATGGAAGGGGTTAGTCCTGAAACTCTTCTTTATTTAGGAAATATTCTCAAAGGACGACCCCGAAACTGTGCGTCGTTTTTAAAAATGCTAGCCTACCGATCAGAATTGCTAAAAGATAAAGATGATGAAATGGTTAAAACTAGTAAGAAATGGATCGAGAAAATAACTATGTCAATGATAAGCTATTTGCGCAATTCCGTCAGTACTTTGGCAATCGGAGGGGTCGACCCAAGGAAGGCGATTGTTGATCTTGTTTGTTGCGGAATTATTAATTCAACATCGGCTGGTGCTGAATTACTTCGACATGGGATTCTTCCTATTCAGTCGCCATCTTTCATTACCCTTAATTCTGAAGAAATTGACTTCACTTCGATCAAAATCAATCTAGAATTAGAGTCTTACTTTATTACGGCCATTGGAAAATATTTTATGTTAGATAACAATGCAACTCTGACAGATATTTATGTTAGTCACATCTTAGAACGTCTTGGAAGCCCTCAGTCATTTGGTAATGAGCTTGATGGTGCTTTTGCATCAGCAATTATTGAAAAATGCGGTCGTAACGTGCTTGAAGAACTTAAAAAGTGGACCGATGATCTTGATCCACATTTCAAGTTTCCAGAATGGATCACGCCTGGAATGCAGTTTGTAACGGAAACAAATCTATCAAAAGCTGTTCCACTGGATGTTTATGTTAAAGACATATACCAAACAACCAAGTACCATACTCATGCTATCCAACCGCCGCAAAATGCAGGTTCTGATCTTGTACTCTGTCTTGTAGATAAATCAAATGAATCAAATAACGTGGTATTGTTATCGTTGAGTTCCGCTATCTACGATGAAAATGTTACATCAAGCAAGGTTAAAAAGCAAGCTTTCAAGGCGTGCCTGGGGTTCCAGTACATGGAAGAAAAAAAAGAAGAAAAAAAAGAAAAGAAAAACAAGAAGAGGTCCAATAATGAAAAAAAATCTAGACCCCAGAATAAGAAAATGAAGCTAAATGATCAAAACGATGGAGAGGAGGGATGTGTTGAAATTGGCCTTACTAAAAAATATCAGAAACCTCAGAAAAGGGTTATCGTTGTTGATGATAATGATGATGATGATGATTCAGATCAGTATGATTTGAATTACGATTTAGATTATGATAAAACTCTCAAGGGTTATAAAGAATCCAAAACCGCTAGTTTTGTGGAACTTCACCATAAAATCGCAGATGTGACTTATAACAGAAAATGCATTCACATTTTAGTTGAGTTACCACACAGAGCTTTATCAAAAAGGCCAAATATCTTTCGATATGACAAAAAAGGTAATCTCATAGTCATTGTTGATAACCGTAACGTAAAACAAGTTTTTGGAGAAAAGTTGGCGAATGCAATGATGGCGAGAAGTACAAAATCTGATTGATACTGGTACGATTGATACATAATTTTTTGTGCGAGTCAAATAAAGTTTCCACATAAAGTTCTATTTTACAGCTAGTATGTGCATAAAAAATAAAAATATTACATATACCGATTCTTGGTAGTTTTCAGTGATGATGCTGTATGTATGTAAAAAGAAAAAATATGAAAGTAGGGAAATCATCGTAATGGGGGACCAATTTAGATTGGAAACAACAAAATCAAATAATTTTTCTTAATATATTATGCTACAATGAAAGAAATTATATACAAGTAATATAAGTAATACGCACTTTAATTTTTTTATTTGTCAAATAAAATAAATACACGTGATACATGATTATTTTATGCTAAGTCCTAAAAATCTAGCCCGATTTTTCTGCAATGTTTTTATTTCTCTCTACTTGACTACATCAAGAGCCGAGTCTGGCTTTTGTGCCTTACCCATTAATCATCGCATACAATGATATTACCTTCCATATTCTCACCATATACAACAAATATCGGCTTCGATAGTTTGAATATTAACCTGTCTTGATTATCGAGTAAAATAACATCGTGACCATTGTTGTTTCTCCATGCTACACCAGTCAACTGAAATATAAACCTCTAACTTACTGCATAAGTTTCTAAGGTATAGCATCTAGGTTATAACATTCAGAAACAAGAAATGGGCACCTTTCGAGATATTGTATTGTGTGATACCATAATTGTTTCACTAGCTTCCCAGGGAGGCAGGAACCCAATGAAAATAAGCAACCGTGACCTCCTGGGTCACAGTTTATATAGAAAAAACATGAACATGAAAGTAATCCTCTCTAGACATAATACTTCGAAGATTTTGTTATATATAGATTAAAATAAGTCAGAGGTATTCAAAGAATATGTATTCAGAACTCATTTTTAGTAATATTATCGTTTCGGATTATATATTTTTTTGGAAGTGTATTTTAGAACAAGGAAACAGTCATCTACAAAACATATTTCGAAATAAGTTGAAGTAATATTTATATAACTCTATCAAAGGCCGACAGAGTCGAAAAAATATCTTACATTTATCACATGCTGTCAACTATGTGGTCATTTGAATATAGTATGCAATTAAAAAATAACAAGTACGTAACAGGCAGTATGTACACTATCTCAAGACATTAACTGTAGGCTTGTTGGTTAATCTAATAATTGAAGTGTCGTATTACATACTGTATATGTTCTGTCATAGATGTTTTAACTGGTCGCTCAAAGATGGACATTAGTATCTATTACTGGTGTAACAACCAACGGACTTTTCGAAGAAAAGGCAGTGTCTATGGGGGAGATCGGTTAATTCAAAAATTACGTAATGTCTATGCTATAAATTGGAACGGGATATTTGATACACTGAAAATGGAGGGAATATTCCAATAGTTATTTACTGAGAGGAATACGGCGATTTAAGTATTAGAAACATCACATTTATTTTTTTCACACCAAGTCTTAGGACAATTCGGGAAAGAGAGGACAACAACGGAATATACTCTTTGTCGTTGAGTGAATTTACAAAGATCATGGGTTTATTCGTATACTATGGATAACAGAAGAGGGAGTGATGTTTATATCGGAAATTGGAATAAGTTAAAATCACGCAGAGTACTACTGTAATGATCGCAGTATCTTAGCATAGACACTATGGATGCATAAAATATAAATACCTTGTGATCAAATTAATGTATCCTTCTCGTATCATCATTGCACTCGAGAGTAGGGATAGTTAGTTATACTATATATATCATATTAGTCCTATCGGTTACAGAAAATATTATCGTATATCATTGTGCCACTTGTTTGAATCTTTTTTTGTTCACTTGAAATACCAATAGCGCATAGAAGTTTATTATACGGTTGACATTTTAGTATATTCAACGCTTTTCCAGAGTAACCTTCATATCTACTAAGTGATGTACTATATGTTAGCGTACGTGATTAACAGAGAAAAATAATGCTGACGGAATTAATTTACGTTTATCTGTTAGTAGTTCATTATTGGGTATGAATTATAGAAAAATCTTTTTGCATCGCTACTTGCTAAAATAAAATTGACAGCCTCGTGTTATTGTCGGAAATTGCAAAGCTCCCCCGTTACATATTGTATTTACAGAGTCTCTTCTAGGTAATCGAAACTAAATGCATTCTACTTAAAGTATTGACTATTGTTTGCGATTACTAAAACTAAAGAGGATGCAGAGCAAGTACTCACTCCGCAACATTTTTATTTTTTTCTATATGGAACTCCTTATTACACATCCTTATCGTAATTAGTATATTGGAAATAAAACTATCCGGAAATAGAAATTTTTAACGCAGTCGTAGCATGATTTTACTTTGTTAGAGTCTCGTACAACTTCGTTATGAAACAAATTAACCATAAATGATAAATTAGATGTGAATAAATGGCACACTGTGTAACGAGAAATAAAGCTATTATCCATAAAAGGAACCTATTGAATTATACTATATTGCTGATGAGCCTTATTAGGTAGTTAGTTATTTGTGTTACATTTTTTATTACATATATTCCCTGTTTTGTTAATAAAAATTTTATCGCAGTTTCATTATACGAAATATGGCAACTGTGACCTTAGTGTCACGGTCTCGTTGGGAAAAAATGATAAAAGTCGTGCAATACTACCTTACATGTCACATCATAGACAAAAAGTTGAATCGACAATAACTCAATAAGGAAAAAAATTTTGTTTTCGAAATGGATAAATTTCGTGGACCAGAGATGTAGATTGCAATATGCGTAGATATACTTTAGTAAAACTGGCTACAACTATTAGTTTATACATATTATCTATTTCCATATTCTGATTTTCTACGCAAGGTTAACGAATTTTCTTCTTCAGAACAAACTAGTTAGAATAATAGATGTACTATATTTCGAACACCCGCCACAATAACCTCTTCGAGAGGTGCAAAGTACCAGATTTGTTATATATATTTTTCGTAATAAAATCTTCACAAGGTATCTGTAAGATGAACATATACCATTAAGGTGGAGAGTAGTTACAGAAAGAATATCAACAGTCTTTTCGGACTAGTAATTCAGGCACATGAGAAGGTATGTTCGCATTCTTTCCAAAATATTTTCATGTACCATCAGACCTTGTCTTACAGATAATCGTATTGGCCTACCAAGATGTAGGCATGTAGTTATACAATAAGTAATGGGGGGATCAGAATAACACGGATTGTTACAATACTTATTCCAGGTATGAAACACGCATTAAGTTTATTGCATTAATATATGATACTGAGAGTAATCATTTCATATTATTAGATTCTTGCGCACTACAAAATTAATATATTATGGTAACATCCCGTAAATTCCGTCCTAAACACTTTTTCTATACCAAGAGCATCAGTTATTCGATTTTTTTTCATTTTGAACTAAAGTGACATTTACTAAAGAATGGGAAACGAAACAGATAAATATCGCTGTTCAACAACACAACAACAACATAATTTATCAGTTGAGGAAGTATATGACAAAGAGGAATTATCCACGAAATTAGTAGTCAAGGATCACAATGCGGACGTGTATAGAGTTTTTCATTCACGTGAAGAGTTTTGGGAGTTTAACGATGGCATAGCAGAACACTTAAGATCCTTTTCCGAAGTAGTATATGGGGATTTACCGCAATTTCCTAGAATACACGTAGAGTTTGGTTCGCTCAATAAGCTTCCTGGAACGAAAATAGTTAACTTACTAAGACCAATTCTTGATGGGATGCTAGAAGTGATTCGCACTAGATATAGTGGAAAATCGGCCGTGCCTAACTCACTGAAAGATTTTGTCATCATGGATGAATATGGTCAGAATAGACATGGTTACTGGACAAACGATTTTCACATACAAGCCACTTCATTTGCGTTTACAGACTATAAAGAGGCTAAGGAATTCACTCGTCGTGTCCGTTCAAGTTTGCCTGTAGAGGTCGGACGATTTATTAGTCTGCAATACAATGACCCTATTCAGCTAGTTCCCATACTTGGTTCTACATGCCCTAAAGAATCCTTACACAAGAAGATTTCCCGTTTTAGTCAATTCTTAGGAACAAGCGTTGATATTCACAAGAACGAATTATTTGTTAAAAAGTTTCCGGACTTGGATTACATTGTCCCTTCTACCCCAGTAGCTGACAGTAACACAAAAAATAATTGCGACCAACCTAATTCACCTGATACGCATGAAAACACGAACATTAAAGATCCTCACAGTGTAGTTTGTTGCCATGAAAATGGCTTTGATATCAAACAACTAACTCCTTCATCTGTGGAACAAGAATTACAAAATAAAAGTCTTCGAGACGATGAGCAGCCAGACAATACATATTCCAGTGAGACTCCAAGGGAAGGTTCTATGATAACGTTGTCAACAAAGAAGAATCCGCCTCCGGTTAACAAGCAATACGCAATTGCGATAAACTGTTTAGTTCTGTTTTTCTTTGTTATGAATAAGATCAAACAAGGTAGCAGAGAAATGCAGGGTGGAACACATGGCACTAAAGAAAGGGCATTACGAAAGGGGCAACGGGATCGACTTCAGCATAATAGAAGTGCAAAAAATGGGAAGGGTCGTGGTCGTAGAAATAGTTGTTATTGGAAACGTTGGAGAATTCATGATAATCTATACATTCGACCTGAAGACAGTCCTCACAAAAACGAAATGATCAACTGGGAAACAATTGTAGTTTCTATGATTGCACTTGATCGTGGTGTTATATATATGCGGAGTACTAGCGAAACAAGATCATATGGATGCGTTCCTCACAAGGTCATAGCAATTACACTGCTGTGCCAATCATACCAATTCAATCCACCATGAAAAAGATGCCAACAGATACATAAAACACATGCTCTGGTTATGAGTTCTTCTAGGTCGATAAAGTTGCAGTAACTATTGATGCAAATAACTAGTGTTGGCTCAATAAATAGGGGTGGTATCGAATAACCAAAAAATGGGGGAGAATCTTTTACACAAAAAATAGGGGGTTTTTGTGTCTACAACGAAAAAGAATATATTTTTTGTTTCAGTGAAACTAGGCAAAGCCTGGATAATTGATTGCTATGTCTAACATACTTAGTATATATTCTGAACAACGAATGTGGAGTTTGTTATAACGAATATTGGTAACATCAGTTCGATAAAATTATTATATATGCCCAAGGGATACATTTCATACATCTGTAATAATTAGGTTTCGACCATGCTCAAGATAATTACGAAAATATTTTATAGATATTTAGTGATCACAGCGGAGAGTAGATGTGTTCTATCGTCGAAGAAACAGTAGACATGTATTTATTGATTACAAGAGATGAAGTATTTAGTCCGTAGGACCTTCAAAGAAGTGAATAATCGAAAGTGAGTGACAGATATGTTTGATCGCAGAAGAAAACAGTAAACAAAAAATAATTTGATCATAGACACGTGAAATGTACCCTTTTGATATAGTTATTTAGAGCTCGAAAACAAAGGCATATCTTTTCCGATAAAGCTAAAGACATGAACAATAATACTATGTTTTGAGATGCTTTCCGATGCACAAGGAATAACTAAGCAATTGAGACTAATGGTATCAGTCATTGTTTTTCTTTCTCTACATAAAATGCCCATATGTATATAATTGGATTTTGCAGATTCATTTGGATTGGTCTCATTCCGCTGAAGAAAAACTGTCACGATTCGTGACGATGAATCAACTGAGGACATTTTGTATTGACATGGAATATATTTTTATTCTTAAGCATGTCCACTGAACGTTTTCGGATTATCTGCTATTTATTGAGCTTTATTTGCATGATATCACGACATACAAAGCAAATGGACTATTTTTGTATAGTTAGTTTGCAAGACACAAAGTTGGCTAATTAATGTAAATACCGGAAATGATAAATCTATTGGTTAACCATAATTATTGTGCTTCGAGATGTCATCAAATTTACGTAAATAATGAATAAGAATAAAAATCTATGTAGTCTAGTTGAAAATTCACTTCCGAATGTTCTTAGTATATTTGTGATTGTATAAGTAATTTCGTTTTCCCACTTTGGATATCTAGTTGAAGTATCAATGTGCACATGACATAGGACCCTCGGTTATAGCTTATTCACATACTGTACATACGTGATCCCAGAGGGATCCAACGAATGTTTCAATAAATTTTTATTAACAAAAACTTTTCTCTTGCGTAAGGTCTCACGGCCAAGTATTTACGAAAAAGTATTATTATTATTCATTGGTTGAAACATATTGTGGGGATATGGGATACGGAATGCCTGTGCTATATAGATGTACAGTGGTGATCATAATTATTTGGGCAGAGCCATTAGGAACACCCTAAGACCATTGCGTGGTTGAGCGGCAAGACGGTCAGAAAAAGGAGGAGGAAAAATATGTAAAAACAGGTNTTTGTGATTGTATAAGTAACTACGATTTTCACTTTGGATATCGGATTATTATTTTTTCGATTAACTAATATGAATTTACTACGCAACGCAGCAATATATATAACCAAAGTATATGATATACACTCCTAATTTCTGGGATCAGGCTTTCGATCCAAATCGATGATCATCTATTAAATGATTTGCTTTGTAAATGTTTTACGTATCAGAACAGCCTTTCAGGGGCAAATCAAATTTCATTGACCGCATGATGATAAACACCTTGGTGCGTATCAACAAGTTTGAGAAAAGTATTACCCGGACGATCAATATGAAAAGCGAATTATAAATACGTAACTTTATTAATTATGGGCAACCTTTACAGGATCATGGTAGACATTACTCTGACTTGTCGTCTCCATCGAGACAAAAAAAAATAATGAGAAATTTGATATTAATGTTGTAACCACCGATTCTATTATTTCTCTTGAAGATAAAATTTATGACGCAATTAAGAGTAAAGATGATGAAATCTTTTCTGGTATTGAGGCCAAAGACTTGGATCTTTGGAAGGTAAAAATCAAAAATGATGATGATGAGATTTTTTCAAAACTTGATCTAAGGAGTAACGATACGGAAAACATAAAAAAGATTCGAGGGATAACAATTAGTGAATTTTGGGAAGAACAGCCTCCCACTGATTGTACTCATGTTATTGCCGATTCACGGTATTTGTCCTTGTTAAGAGATTTTCCTTTGCAAACAAGATTGAATCAAGGTAGGTCTAACTAGCCTTAGTAGTCATAGTTAAATTCCATGTGGATTTCCTTCAGTAATCTAATTTAGTACGAGTTTTTTAGAACTTACTGAGGAAACTACTCAGAAAACAGACGAAAAACGTTACATTTCAAGAGGTTCTCGTCAAATTCAGGATGCCGTTGCTGAAAAAATCATTATTCACGGTGATGAATTATGGGTCAATAAAAAATATCAAGGAGTACAAGTTAGCATAGGCTGTAAAGTAATAGACGTTGATAAAGTATGTCCAATAGTTGCTCTTATTGACAACGAAGATGAAGAATCCAAATTAAGCGAATGGACACAGCTTGAAAAATGGCTTTTATCTCATTACAAAGAGCGTACTAACGTTAATCTAGATTTAAACATAATCATGCCAGTGAAAACATCCGTCTAGTACGTGATGGGAATTTTCTTGGATTTATTCATGACCTAATTAAGAACCATAATGAAAATATCTAATTCGTACCCTCTGGGTAGTTTTGTATTACTGTAAATGAGTTAGGTATAATTTGTTGAAAGTTATATGTACAATAAATAGCATTGATATTAATAACTAACCCTGTAACGAAGATACAAATATTGCCTATTTGACGATAGATGATTGGTTACTTTTTTTATTACTTTTACTTCGAATTATCAGGTATTTTTCGTAACTAAGTAACGGTTGTATCCCCCTCTGCAATAAATTCAATATCAGAGAAACTACCATAAGGTATCACTGTATTATCCAGTCCACTTCCCTTGGAAGGTCTAAAGACTAATTTTATTGGTAACTGCTCATCTTGAATAAACCTGTCCATATCATCGTTACCACTAGTCCATTTTCCAGAATCTTGTTGAAAACGTTTACCGCACATGCATTACATAAGTTACTCCATCGGTAACCAGAACTATCTTTACAATCTACACACGTAAGAATATGTTTGTCCATTATTCAATGAAATCGCAAACTTATCACAGAAATAAGGTAAATATCAAATTTTTGGTACAAACCCTGACTAGCGTTGCCTGTTATTAAGCGAGTTCTTGAGTCGTTTCAGAATCTATATGATGAAAATGTACCAACTCTCCAATGCTTATGTGAAAATGTTCCATCAACAAACAGAGTCATTGCTTTCCCTCTGTTTCAACAAGTAATAATACAGAATGCTGAAGGGCATTCCCGAAGGGAATGTGATCCTTAGTTTGGAAGCTACATTTGTTAGCATGACGCTCTAATAAACTGTCACTACGGTGGTGATCAAAATTATTTGGAATGACGAATGTGTGAAAATGGCCATATTAGGCAGTTATTTATACGTTTTTTACGTATTTTGCCTCTTTCTTTTTCCAGTGGAACTGGGCTCCGCCCAAAAAAATATGCTCACCACTGTATATAGCAGTGACACGGGATAAATCACCAGATCCTATTGTTGTAAAACGCATACCAATAGTTTACTTCGCACCTTTGGTGGTCCTCCAGGACTGGGCAAATTCCAGGTTTCGCATGTTCCTTTTAATTATCTACAATAAAGTGTTTAATCCCCCATCCTTGTCATGGTAGAAATAATGAGAGAATTGTTGCTAATTACTTGCTTTTTTCGTAGATATCCATATGTGTTAGAATATGGTTAATCCATAATATGAGTCTAGCTATTATCGTTCGTATGATCTTCAATAAACCCTGGATCACAAATGTGAAACTAATTTTAGTCTATTGCTAGAGATAACAATAAATTCCAATGAATGGTTAACTATTCGGACCATATTTTTCGTTGTTCTTACATCATCAATCATAGAGTGGACGAAAAATGTTTCACCTTAATGTCTGTTAATCAAATCACATATCCAGTTGCCGACGAAGTGGGTATACGATATAAAGAATTAGTTGTTAGACCTTTACAATATGCGGTGTAGCTAACATAAAAATAAACTCAATAAATAATAAACTCACTTGGGTTTTCGTATAATTGTACGCTGGAATCTCCATTAAAACGAGAATAATTTTTACTAATGTCCGGTGTCTTCGGGAAACGATCAAGACGGTTCTATACTTTGTTATTATCGAATGATACAATCTATTTTGTTTTTTTATTTGTAAGGGTCATGAGCAGTATATATTCTTAATAAACAATCACTGCGTAAAAAATTTTACATTACGCAACATTTGCCCTTTGGGCGGTCTCTGACTGATATTCACCTGTGATATTAAACAGATATAAGGTCGGAAGTGACATCAAAACAGTATCAAAACTAATACCCTCCAGATATTTTCGTTTCCGATTGCTATTAACTTATATCTGTACCTTAAAACTAACTCATTTGGGTGAAGAAATATTTTCGGATATACATACGCAATACCTATATGTGTCACATAGTTGACCAGTAACTTGTGTCTTGATTATCGCACCAAAAAATCATTACACCCAGTTTTCCCAGACTGAAATATCATTTTCCGTTCATCTGTTACCAAAAAACACCTTTAACAACTGTCTTGGTCGCATACGAAACTTAATACTGTCATAGTATTTATATTATATCTCTGTTCTCAACATCGATTTGGAAACGATTTTAAAAAAAGTAAACAGCGAGGACTATATAGAAAGTGAGCAAGACGATTTACTATTATTTCGTTATCTATTTTCCATTTCTTTCGTTGTTGCTAGTATTAACACATATTTCGCTTTATCTGGTTGTTAAAACTGATTATATAGTTTTGTTGACTTGGATAACTGCACCACAAAATAAAGAAACCCGATATTAAATGGTAAGGTTTGGATTTTAAATCTGTGGGTAGTTCTGCAGATAGGTTTGGATATCCAGCAAGTATTTTCAGAACTTGCTCTCATTAACCCTGAAAATAATGAGAAATCAACTAGTTTTTTTAAGAAACGTGAAACAGATGAAACAATAAATGAAATGGAAATCGATGAAGAAATCAATAGACTTAAAATAGTTGAGAATAAGAAAACACCACGTGAGTGTTCATTTTATTTAGACTCGAAATATTAAACCTGTGCGTGTTCTAATGCAACTATGTTACGTCAAATAGATGTGGCGGAACAGCTTGGCGACCGTAAAGTTCTTTCAATTGAAGATATTAAAATTCTTAGTGAGCTTGAATATGTATCTGATTTCTTCTGGGATAAATATAAAGAAACTCCATTATCTTGCGTAAGTTCAGGAATGGTTGACGAGAAGGCGGTACTTGTTGCTTTAGTATGTCTACCCAAAGGCACGCAAGTTAATTTACCTGGCGAGTTCGAAGGATATCGTGTGCTAATAGACTATGGGGAAATTGAACCGGCTCATCGTAAACGTCATGATGAGCTTAAGCCTGGTATAAGTATTGGTAATGTTATTAATCCCAATAGCGACCAAACATTTANGCTTTCTAACCATGTAAATTTTATCCTTTTTTGTTAAGTATTACCAAAAGTTGGTATTGCAATGAAAATCGTATTACAGAATTTTTTTTTTTTGGACATTTTACTATAATAAAAATTAATTATAGCGATTTCTCTACTGTTAATGATCAGGGTATGACACCTAGGGATAATTGCGCTGAAGTTATGTATACTTTTTATGGTGTTGACGAAGAAGGACGTTTTCTTGATTATGCTTTTTGCAAGATCAACAAACGAGAAATATCAATACCTAGTAACATTCCATTTGGAACTGAAGTTATTATTAAAGAACATAAACAATCCGTTGAAAACGATCCAAATAATCAGAAGAAAAAGCTCGACTTTATTAAGGTTGAGAAGGTTGGTAGGACAACATTCCATACACATGGGTATGTGTTAGATAAATGGAAATATTTTAGGCCTAAGAGTTTATCTAGAGAAGCCTCTGCTCTATTCGTCTATGGAAATAGTGGAAATTTTGGTAAGTCCTGATTTCGTTAATAATGTCTGAGGACAAGTTATTAATGGCATATTATATCATCAACAGGTACTTATGGAGATTCGGGTTCACCTGTTTTTGATAACATTGGTAGACTGTGGGGTATTTTTCAGGGAGTTTACCCAAATAGCAATCAAGCTTTTGTTATTCCCATTCATGTAATTTTAGATCATGCCGAAGCTAGAACTGGAAAGAGGTTTATACTAGTGTAAATTACAACCTTTACTTTATATATTCAACGAACGGTTTGTTCCGAGATTGTCCTTATAACGAAAAAATAATAAATGTTTATTATACCTTTCAAAGAGTAATGTTACGTGGCAATGTTTTATTTTTTCTGACTATTATTACATATATTGAAAAGCAAATTATGTTATCGGTGAAACTAGCTAATGCTACTGGATAACATAAATCAAAATATGAGCGTGACCCATTTTTTCCCCAATACCCGTGACTTTCGCTAACGAATGCAGAGAAAAAAATCTTTGTTGTTCTCATACAAAAATAAGACTTAAAAGGGTTTTCAAAATATGCGAAAAGATGTGTGAATAACAGACATACCAGAATTTACACCAAGTAAGACTTTTTGTATATTATCTTGATCGCAGCATTCTTTTGATACAACATAACTAATACAAGTATTTTGCTTATTTATGAAAAGAAATTCATAACATAGATGATGAGGACGGGGCTTTGTTGCACTGTATTATGACTCAGACTAAGCAATATGGGAAGGGTCTTGAGCGATTCGCTGTGAATATATTTCAGTTATCATCCACTCATATATCCGTATGGTCAAAACTTGTCTGTTATCGGAAAAAGGAATTTCACTAAATCCGTAATTCAAAGTAGCTGATGAAGAAAATATTTGATGCATTGGTTACACAATCAAGCATTTAGGAGTTATTTCCAATGCTGCTTTTGGTAAAGAATATGACTTATAATGTGTCTAAAAAAAGCAACCAGCAGACTCAGTCTGTGGAAATGCCACAATGAGAAGGAATAAAACGAGAAATGATATGTCATAGACGGTAAGTATCGCACGTGCCGTAATACCCTCTTAAGCTTTTTAAACGTGGAACTTATCCGTTTACGGATCGTATAACAAAATGTTTCAATACATGAAAATCTTTCTCCCACGAGAAACGAAAATGTTGTCTCTGCATATGTGGATGTGTCTCCCACGAGGAACGAGAAAGTGGCTACCTCAGCTTACGTATTTGTGACTAATACTAGAAACGGAAATGTTGCTACGACAAATGAAAGTACTTTGACCAATGCAAGGGTTAATAATACGGGAACTTCGGTATTCAAAATGGTCGTAACGGACAAGTCCACCAAAAGTCCTATAGTACACCAGGCCGAGACTCGGAAGGAGATTTTGGCCTTGAAGGAAAAAATTTGGGACTCTCAAAAGAAGATCCGTAGGAATATTTAAAGAAAATATCAGACTTAAACGCCATTGTGTAGACCTCGAGAATGAAATTAACACTTTGAAACAAAAAAAACATGATTCTGGAAATATCGATAAACCAAAAGATCCAAGAGATAAAGAAAAGAAAGACCATCGAAATGGAATGCCTTGTGAAAGAACAACTTGTTACGACCCAGGAACTCAAAACGTTAGGCGAGGAAATGGAAGAAACCTTGGATTTTTTTAACTCAAGTGGAGACGAAAGAGATTATTCTCGAGGCAGATTGGCAGATCCATTCATCGAAGAGACCCACATTCAGCCTGAAGAGATGGAAGACCAGATTATTTGTGATTCAGAGTCTAATGATGAAAGAAACGGAGAAAGTATCTCACAAAACTCCGAAACTGAAAATTTCATCTTCGAGAGAATCTACTCCTAATTCAAATGTATCTCTTAAGGCTGATTCTATGACGTACTGTGCATGTTGCGATTTAAAATTGATGGTAAAATCTTTGAAACGGCACATGGGCTCCAAAACACATATACAAAATGCTGCTACAAAGAATAAGCAATAGAACTTTAGCTATCGCATGGTTAATATTTCGTACACCAAATACTAAATATATTTTAACATTTTATAAGTCTTAGGTAGTTTGTACTTTAACACGTCCTCTACCTTCGGGATTATCAAATAGAACAAATAGAACATCTCTTCCGGAATTTCTGATTATTGTTATTGCTATTGATGTAGTATTATAGTGTATCAGTAGAGGGATTAGGTTTTGCAAATAAATGCAATGGTCCGATAACTTTATGGGCATTCTTTTCAGAGAACAAAGTTTGACTGTTTGCATGGTAATATGGATTCATCTATTTTATTTCGAATGTAAAATCCTTTTTTTTCGAAGTTTTTACCAAATTAAAAGTTTTGATCTGCTCGTATCGAATAGTGATGAATTTTTCAGATTTCCAAAAGATCATTCAGAAATGACGACATCTAATGTTGGTAACATCGCATTAGTAAACATACTGGTTGATAAAAACACAATTCGAATGAAAGATGTGTACTCATCATACGGTAAAATCCTTAACGTAAATGTTTTATTTAATGTTGAAATAAATGGGATGATGCTGCGGAACAGTTATTCTTTTTAAACATCTCGAATGCGTTTTCCCTTATGAGTCCATGACCATCATATCCTTCGATATTACAGTTATAACTTCCAAAGCCCGTTTCACGAATTTATGTAACTCTAACTCATCTGGATCTTCTGTCAAAGCGTCTTTGGAAACACGATGTTGAGTAGATCTTACTCACACATGAAAATTCCATCCAGAATGTAAAGTAATAACCACTCTGTTGTCGTTGGACAATTTTATAAAGGTAATCAAGGTCCTTCGCAAATACCACATCTATCTTACATTTTCTCTTATTCGTCTAGAGATATCTTCACGTTGAACATACTGTTATTGTTATTGAGAACAGAATTTTTATGTCCAGGCTTACATGTGAATGTGGTTAAGATGCAAAAGGCTCAGTGGACCGAAACTTACGTTAAGCGAATAATTCTATTATCTGGATAGATAGAAAAGTAATAACACAAGTTAACGACATTGTGATTGAATAGATTTTGTATGCGAAAAAATGGGCTACGAACCTAAACACAATAACAGTCGATATATTATGAAGTTCTTCTTAGTCGAACTAAAAAATACAAGACGAGTTTGTTTACTGTTTGTTTTTAAAAAAAGAGTTATCTGGACCTATGAAATTTTTTATTCCAACTGACTATTCATCGATATCCGCAGTCGATATCCGCAGTAGTCACATGCTTTTATATAATACTGAGAAGTTCATCCGGACCGAATCTTCGGGGGAATTCATCACCGAACCGAGGAAAGCTCACATGACACCCTGAACAATTGTGTAGAGTATCACGTGATATTGGACGAATAATAATCGAAGATTGATATTATTTCACTAATTTATCATTAGAATTATAGCAACGCACCCATGTGTTGGTTTTCAAAACAGGAATACAGCAGATAGAGACAAAAATTAATCACGTAATGACGTATTGCAATACCAAAGATACGAGAGGTATACTTCTTGGGGTATGATCTATCTTCTAGTGATTCCTTTTGTTGATCACGGCAATGTTTATTAGTAATTCTTATTACTTGTTTTAGATTGATCTGTTGAACAGATGACAAACTTGGCAATCATACTAACATATTATGCGTTAACATTTTATTCATATGGCTTAGTAGTTTATTAACTGTGAAAAAAATGATATGATAAAGATTTCTCAGCTATTTAAACCGAAAATTAGAAAGACAGCTCGTTATAAGACAATATGGCACAATTAGAAGATCCAGAGATATTGCAAAGCCCGTATTTCAAGATACAAAGTACTCTCGAGCCAGAAAGTCTCGCAGAGACGTCTATTAAACTGTTGAATGCCATCAAATCAGAACCGAAACTAACTGAATCGTATTGTTTGGAAGTGCGGTTTGAGGAGGACAAAGCCTTCTTTGTGGCCTGTCTAAATCCTGTTTTGTGGTTTGATGTTTACTTACGGGGAAAACCTCTAGAAGAAGCAACTAAAATTGCAAGAACGTTTGTCACCAATACACGATTAGCGGTACCTGTTGAAAAAATTGCACCGTTTGAAGTCGAGCATAATAAAACTGTCAATGATTTGGCATTCACTCAATGCAAATTCGGTAGAAATTGTCGGGATCGTAAGCAAGGCAACTGCAGTAAGTATTTTGGTTTTCCTTTTTGCTCGCCATATCCTTTTTGTTTGCCATATCCTTCTCCTCGCTATTACGTACCAGAGAGTGTCAATACAATAGACTGTAATATTAACACAGAGAATTCTTTAGGTCGAGATCATCTGGATGCTATGTGTAAAGGAACTACAAAAACACGGGATGGGCGTGATACCGTTTGTAGCTATTATGTTATCGGCAATCTTATTGTATGGGAACGAACAAAGTATTACATATTGTTTAGACGAGAACCGATTCGTGGTTTACTAATGATTCCTCGTCCCAACGATGACACAAAAAACAATTTTAATCACTTCGACAACACGTCGATAATCAAAAATAAGCAATTTTGGCAAGATTTATTAGAAGAACGAGGACGATTGGGATTTAACATGGTTTCTCTTAACTATGGGACGTGGGAGACAGGGCAGGCTAAAGCAAAAGACAAATATGCACAAAATTGTCATGCGCATGTCCATCTTAATTTCGACGACACGGAATGGGAAAAGGTGAAGACTATGGCCCCTGAGAATATAAAGCCGTTGCTTGATTCTCGTGATTCACTTGAACCCAGTAATCTTCTCAAGAATTGCCATGAACTAGAAAGTTATCGATTACAAATAGTGGAAGCACAGTCAATGGTAAACAGCTCAGTCATACTATCGAACAAGATAGATGCGTTTTCGAAGAAGATGGATACCGTTGTTACAAGCTTCTCTGAAACGAATAACAAGATGGATACCGTTGTTGCAAGCTTCTCAGAAACGAATAACAAGATGGATACCGTTGTTGCAAGCTTCTCAGAAACAAACAAGAAGATAGATGCGTTTTCGAAGAAGATGGATATTGTGGCTACAAACTTCTCAGAAACAAGCAAGAAGATAGATACTGTTGTCACTAGCCTCTCAGAAACAAACATAAAGCTATCTGAGCTTATCGAAATTTTATTGTCAAAGGAACGACAAAATGATGAAAAAAGAAATTAATTTTAGTGAGTTCGCATAGGTGAGTAAGTATGTTATTTTTGAATAATTAGAATAAGGTTTGTGGACACTCGTATTTAATTATCATTACTTTACTTTTTTCATTTTCTACAACTACAACAGACCTACAAATTCCTGTTCTAAGTTATGTTTCCCATGCAATGATACTGTGGTTTAAGAGATCCTTTTTACGTTAGTTGATTTTGTTAGTCTGATGGAAATTAAAATAGTTATCAGACGCCTGGGGATATGGAAGTTAAATAGAATTCGATAATTTGTATTTACAAACAGTTTTTAACAATAAAATGCGACAAATCAGAAATAAAATACCAGAAACAATAATTTATTTAGCAGTGTCACTAAGAGCACATATTCATTGTCTAAATAATCCGAATTAGTAAACATGTGGATGAAAAGGGAATGATAATTCCGTTAATAACAGAAATCGAATACAGAAAAAAATAGCAGATAGGTTCTAAGTATCAATTAGTACAATTTACAGGGTATAATGAATAGCATATAGGTAGTTAATTTTTGTAATACCGTATTTCTTTATTGGAAACAAAATAAACTAAGTCTTAGAAGATAATTAATGTATAAAATATGGTGTTCTATTAAAATATAATATTTCTTATATTCTTGGTATAACAGATGAGCTAGTTGCGTATGATCGTCGAATACCTTGATTATGCCACTGTTCGGATTCTTGTTCTTGATAGTATAAGTTATTCTGAAACTTAATGTAACGCTAGTCATGGTGGGCACTAACATGATAGAGACTTGTACCATAGAACTCTTAGGTTGTGAAGAAAATATTTCTTTGAAAAAAGTAGAACGTTTGCTCACATTAAAATAACTAAGTCGTAAAAACGCTAACTTGCCCAGACATCATTGTTACTTCGTAATTACAAAAAAATTGTATTTAAGATTTCGTAGAGTAATAGAATTGGAGATCAATGTAGTTACGAAAGATATATGGACAAATTACTTCTCCTGCGTTATTCTATTATAATTATGTAGTCAGAATATCGGATTACCAATAGGCAACGATAGAAAGCAATTTTGTCTTGTGATATCAAGGTCCATGGAAATGATATATTAATCAAAGAATAGAAACAATGACAAAAATCAGTAGCAGTGCAAACTATTTCATAGTTTCATGAACTATATTCCAAAGAAATACATGAGGAAGTAGCGACCACAGTTAACATTAACATATCGATGTAAAAAAGAAGATAACAACTGCTTACTTATTTTTTCATCTCGCACATAACATATTACCGTATTTATTTTTTTTACTTAGTCTTCCGTAGTATACATACTACCGCTGAAACTATGAAACGATTACATTACACTTTAAGTATAGATATTGTAATACTCTTTCGGAATATTTACTATTTCTAATTAGAATGTTTCGCTGACTTCTCTATTGAAGCATCTATCGTTTCTGAATTGCAGAAGTTTATTATAATATTGATGATGCGATAGATATTGATTAACGATTTGCGCTAAAATTTTTAAACTATTAATGTGCTAGTTCGTATTAATATGCATTGGTAAAGCTATTTTTATCTACGCCATTACCATGTGACACTCTGAACTGACCGTGGGTTTCACCCAGCCAAGGGCTCTTGCCGCTCAACCACGCTTTTAACAGAGGAGTTCTACTTTCGTACCTTTCAGGTAGGAACCTAGGTTCCTGGGATTAGAGTATCACGTGTTATCCGCAGGACTATTAATTGTTGACTACTAACTAGCAAATTGTCGAATGATTTCTCATCTCTGTTCTTAGAAACATTAAATTACTGTGATTTATCAACAAAGTGAACTATTTCCTCGACTAGAGTTTTTCTGGGAATTTTTTGGCAAAAATGATCAAAATAATTTTATTAAATTTTCGATTTACGTAATTCTTGGAATATTTAGTCAAGTATTCGATGATATAGTTATATTGTATTTTTGTTGTTGCTCATTACCCTCCCCATCAACAATGTCATTTGCAAAAAGTGGTGTTAATAATAACAGATAGTAGAATAATTAGTTATCAGAGATTGTTTCGATTACTAAAAAAAACAATTACCGTAATCCCGCTAGTGATAATTTTTCCGCATCCATTGATATTTGTAGTCGAATATTGTTATTTGTATTTGTAGTCGAATGCTTGATGCTATTAACTGCATCTATATTAACTTGTACTAGTGTTTCGATTACTGAAAACAATATCAGCTATTTTCTTTATATTACGAAATTATCCTTATCGATAACCTATTCGACTGTGATCGTACATACGATTATAGCGTCTACCCTCTACACTACCAATCCTATAAAAAATTATAATTACATGGTATTCTTCCCGTGATCAGATAACATTTAAATAGTACTTTTTTCGAATAATCGAATCCCATGCACAAATATTTTTACTAATTATTCGTATATAATCATATGTTGATTTACCCATCAGACATGGTATAATGCATTTCAATTATCCAATGTCACCAGTACACTAACTAAATATAATAAAATACTTGTAATGTATTAACATGACAAATAATAGTACGGATGCATAAAATATAGGCGAAGCCTACGAAGTAAATACCTTGTGGCCAAATAGAATATATTACTCCCGTACATCATTGCACTCGAGAGTGGAGATACACTGGTGATCTGCTCGAAGAGCAAAATTATTTGGGCAGAGCCCTGTTTCACTGGAATGATAAATGTGGAAAATCGCTTTTTTAGACTGTATTTAACGCATTTTTTACGTATTTCGCCTCTTCTTTTTTCCAAATAATTATGCTCACCACCGTAGTTAGATATACTCCATATACAGTATTAGTCTCATCGATTACAAAAAATATTATTATATCCCTTGTCTGAATCTTTTTTCATTCATGTGAGTCACTAGTGTAGTTAAATAGCAAGCGGAATATTTTTCGTATTTTGTTAATAACGTAGAATAATATACAGATTATACAATAATAGGACCACAACCAATAGCGCATGGTAGTTTATTACACGGTTGACATTTTAATATATTCAACGCTTTTACAGAGTAAATTTCATATCTACTAAATGATGTACTATATGTTAGTATACGAGATTAACAGAAGAAAAAATAATGCTTGACTACTAATTATGATAATTTTGTTTGTAATTAATGTTACCTGTTTATCGGTTAGAAGTTCATCATTGACCTTTGGGCAAATTGTGGGAAAATTTTTTGCATGCTATTTGCTAAAATAAAGTTGACAGCCTCGTGTCATTGTTGGAAATTGCAAAGATTTCCCTCCCTATAACATACAGAGTCTGTTCTTAGTAATCGAAACTAAATGTAGTTCTACTTAAAGTGTTGACTATTGTTTGCGATTACTAAAAACTAAAGAGAATTACAGAGCATATAACAAAAAGCACACAGTCCACAACATTTTTATTTTTTATAAACTCCTTACTACATCACATCCTTATCGTAGTTAGTGTATTGGAATAAAACTATCCGGAAATAGAATTTTTCAACGCAGTCGTTGCATGATTTTACTTTGTTAGAATCTCGTACAACCTTTTTTGAAGAAATTTATACTGTGTAACGAGAAAAAAAGCTATTTTCCATAAAGGAACCTATTAATTTATACTATATTGCTGAGCCTTATTAGGCAGTTAGTTATTTGTATTACATTTTTCATTACATATATTCCCTGTTTTAATAAAAAATTTTATAGTATTGCAGTTTCATTATACGAAATAAGGCAACAAAAAGTTTAATCAACCACAAGGTAAAAAATTTTAATTGTTTTCGAAATGGATAAATTTCGTGGACCAGAGATGTATATTGCAATATGCGTAGATATACTTTTAGTTACAACCATTAGTTTATACATATTATCTATTTCGAGATTCTGAATTTCTGCGCATGGTTAACGAATTTTCTTCTTATCAAACTAGTTAGAATAATAGATATATTATAATTCGAACACTCGCCACAATCATATATTTTTTTCGTAATAATATCTCACAAAGTATCTGTAAATGAACATATACCATTAAAATAGAGAGTGAATATGGAAAAAAACTATCAACTGTCTTTTCTGACTAGAAATATCAGACACATGAGAAGGTATGTTCGCTTTTTTTTTCCAGTGGAACTGGGCTCTGCCCAAAATATTTTCTTCATGCATTATATCGTCAGACCTTGTCTTACAGATAATCGTATTGGCCCACCAAGATGCTGGAATGTAGCTATGCAATAAGTAAACGGGAGAAATCAGAATAACACAGATAGTTACATTATACTTATTCCAGGTATGAAACATGCATTAAGTCTATTGAATTAATATATGATATCGAGAGTTAATCATTTCATATTATTAGATTTCCACACACTACAAAATTAATATAATATGGTAACATACCGTATATTCCGTCCTAAACACTTTTTCTATATCAAGAGAATCAGTTATTCGATTTTTTTTCATTTGAACTAAAGTGATCTTTACTAAGAATGGGATACGAAACAGAATAAATATCGCTGTCCAATGACAAAAAAACATAATAATTTATCGGTTGAGGAAGTATATAACAAAGAGGAACTATCTACGAAATTGGTAGTTAAGGACCACAATGCGGACATGTATAGAGTTTTTCATTCATGCGAAGAGTTTTGGGAGTTTAATGACAGGGTACCCAAACACTTGAGATCCTTCTCCGAAGTAGTGTATGGAGATTTGCCCCAATTTCCTAGAATACATGTAGAGTTTGGTTCGCTCAATAAGCTTCCTGGAACGAAAATAGTTAACTTGCTAAGGCAAATTCTTGATGGGGTGCTAGACGTGTTTCGCATTAGGTATAGTAGAATAACGAATGCACCTAAGTCTCCGAAAGATTTTGTCATCATGGATGAATACGGTCAGAATAGGCATGGTTACTGGACAAACGATTTTCACATACAAGCCACATCGTTTACTTTTACAGACTATAAAGAGGCTAAGGAGTTCACTTACCATGTTCGTTCAAGTTTGCCTGTAGAGGTTGGACGATTTATTAGTCTACAATACAATGACCCTATTCAGCTAGTCCCCATATTTGGTTCTACGTGTCCTAAGGAATCCTTACACAAGAATATTTCTAGTTTTAGTCCATTCTTAGGAACAAACGTTGATATTCACAAGAACGAATTATTCGTTAAAAAGTTTCTGGACTTGGATTGCATTGTTCCTTCTACGCCAATAGCTGACAGGAACACAAAAAATATTTGCGACCAATCTACAGACAGTGTACGAAGTATTTTACCTAATACACATGAAAACATAAACATTAAAGATCCTCACAATGCAGTTAGTTACCATGAAAATAGCTTTGATCAACGAACTTCTTCATCTGTGGAACAAGAATTACAAAATAAAAGTCTTCGAGACGATGAGCAGCCAGACAATACATATTCCAGTGAGACTTCAAGAGAAGGATCTATGATAACGTTGTCAACAAAGAAGAATCCGCCTTCGGTTAACAAGCAATACGCAATTGCGATAAACTGTTTAGTTCTGTTTTTCTTTGTTATGAATAAGATCAGACAAGGTAGCATACAAATGCAGGGCAGAACACATGCCACTAAAGAAAATGTACAAAAAGGGCAACGGGATCAACTTCAGCATAACAGAAGTGCAAAAAATGGGAAGGGTCGTGGTCGTAGAAATAGTTGTTATTGGAAACGTTGGAGAATTCATGATAATCTATACATTCGACCTGAAGACAGTCTTCACAAAAACGAAATGATCAACTGGGAAACAATTGTAGTTTCTATGATTGCACTTGATCGTAGTGTTATGTGTATGCAGAGTACTAACAAAGCAAGATCATATGGATGCGTTCCTCACAAGGGCATAGCAATTACATCACCGTGCCATTCATATCAATTCAATCCTCCATGAAAAAAGATGCCAACAGACACATGAAATACATTCTCTGTTTATGAGTTACTTATGTTGTAAAGTAACAATTGACACGAATAACAAATGTTGGATCAATAAAATGGGGGTGATATCGAATATTCAAAAAATGGAGGAGAATCTTTTATGCAAAAAATAGGGGGGTTTTGTGTCTACAACGGAACAGAATATATTTTTTTGTTTTACATATAGGTTAAATACGGGTGGATAATCGATTGCTACGTCTAACATAGATATACATTCTGAATAACAAATGTAATTGGAATTAGTTATAGCGAATAATGGTAATACCAGTTAGATAAAATTGTTGTACGTATCCGAGAAACGCATTTCACGAATCTGTAATTATTGGGTTTCGATTATGCTCAAAATAATTACGAAAATATTTTGATATCATTAGTGAACACAACAGAGAGTGGATGTGTTCTATCATCGAAGAAACAGTAGGACATACAGTATATTCCTCGACTACAGGAGATATGAAGTATTTAGTCCGTAGGACCTTCAAAGAAGTGAATAATCGAAAGGGAGCGACTAGTGATGTTTAATCGCAGAAGATAACGGAGGACATTACATGTTCGATAACAAAAGAAAACCGTAGACAAAAAATAATTTGTTATAGACACATGAAGTGTAGTATCCTTTGGATATGGTTGTTTAGAATTCGAAAACAAAAATATATCTCTTTCGATAAAGCTAAAGATACGAGTAGGATAGTGTTCTTTTTTATGTAGCATAGGTATGCATCTCTTTAACTCTGATTACATGTCTGATATTGTCCTATTATATAATAATTTTATGTTAAGTGTGGAAATTGTTCATTTCTCCTGGATAGAGATGTAAACGGAGCTAGAAATATTCTTCTGCGTTTCTTACAATAAATGATTTGATATAAAAGAGTTCTTTACCTTTGGTGAAGGACGTTGAGCCCCGCCTCCTGGAGGAGACCTCTTCTCTTGTAGTACTTGTATGGAAACATATAGGTTAAATGCGGGTGAACTAGCAAATGTTATCAAAAACTACAGAAATGATAAAGTCTTTTCCCCATCCTATTGACACATTTAGGTTATACCATTGGTTGACTATTTGTATTACACCTTATCACATAAGCCATTTTCAATACAACGATAGTGTCAAGTGAGCAAATGGTAAATGTTTCGTCCACATTGTCATGCAAACGAAAATGAGATCTATGCGGGACCCAATGGAATCCCTAGTATCGAAAAATGAAAACGAATTGAGGAATATAATCTGTGATATGTCGGAATGAAATTGGCATAATCTCGACCATCAACAACAAGCTGAATTGAAAAATTACACTATCTTAATTCCGAGTAGCATGAATACGTACTGTACTATAATTTGGTGGGAGAAATTGGACTAAAATAGTTTACGTAAATTCATGTGTACCAATATTTACAGTGGTGAGCATAATTTTTAGGGCAGAGTCCATTCCATGCAAAATACGTAAAAAACACATTAAAAACTGTCTAATATGACCATTTTCCCACATTCGTCATTCCAGTAGCTTCTCTTTAGAGTTCCTTTGGAATAGCTAGTTTCACTGAAACATCCCTTCAGGAGAATAATGCTCTTCGAGCAGTCTCTGACTGATCACCACCGTATATTGCGCACATTCCATATGAGCCTTTGTTCAAGGATAACGGCTATAACATATTTTTTGTACATAGTGTATGTCAGAGTATATAACCAGTACTGTAGACTACAATTTTCAAGTAGAACTGGGCGAATCCTAGATAATGTTTTTTTCAATGATATAGGGACAAATTCTTACAAACCACCTATTGCTACAAAAATAGAGAGCCAATAGCCGCAGTGCTAACTTAATGACATTATCTTCGTTTACAAAAAACACACACTTTACAGTATTCTCCTTCACCGTTGTAATAACTGGACATCCTTATTGCGTTACTGGTGTTACTGTTATACAAGGAACAAAACATATATTCTGTTAAGTTTTCGTACAGGGTTGGTGATGCGTCTTATGCTTACTGTCGTATGGAAACAAGTAAGGTTCATTATCTTTGGTTGTACGCTATTAGAAACATTAACCCTTAGTATATTTATTAATAATATGTGATGGCATAAATGTCTGGAGTGTTTCTTCGGAATATAATTTGCTTAACGTAGTCCGGTTTGACATGTTATTAGATCCTTTGAGTTACGACAGGTAGTGAAAAACATGTCTCGGCTTTCAGGTAAACACAAAAACCCCCTCATTTTTTGACAACAATAGTCCTCCCATATGTCTATTGAATGTAGCCTCCCGTTCTCTCCGTTGAGCGAAGCCCTATTGACCTTGTTGAAAGTAGACCCTATTGTCTAGTTAAATGAGCCTTGAGTCCTCACTCGTTAGATTTTTGTGATTACCAATCAGAGACCTCAAAATACTATCGAAGGACTCTAGTACTACAGGTTTACGGGGGTAAAAAGTGTAGAACATAATCCTTGGAATAAATTCATATCCCAGGGGTGCTATTCTGTAGTACGCTGGTTCGTCTAAGTACTTTCTTTTTTTGATAGCATCTATTGCCATATAGGGTACTAACAGAAAATAATCGATAGAGTTTTTTCCGTTTCTATAAACAGATATGTGGAAATTATAGGCAAGAAACGGCAAAGTAACCACAATCATTTTTTGATGACCACAATCTCTCACATTCAGTGAATAAGTCGAATGCATACTTTTGTTATTGGGTAGCACCGTTCTGTTTGTACAGAGATGAAGAGAAAATACGTCTAACGTGATGTGTTTCACGTCGTGTATCATACATAAATAGGGACAACCAACAAAGCATTGCCAACAATCCCTAACCTTTGGGTCGTTCCAATGTTTCACGTTCCAATGTTTTACGTTCGAATACAGTGTACTAAAGATCCAGGGAGGGAATTTCCTTCGTAGACGTTTTGAATACCAAAGTGAGAACTCGTCACACTTTCCACCCTGAAACAAATCAAAGTGACGAGCTTGTTGTACCTGATGTGTGTCCTTGTTCATCGCCTGTTCAACAAAACACGAGCACACGAAACTGTTCGATAATAACACCATAGCTTGTCATATTTTTTCTCTAACGGCCATCATCCCAGCCATCAGATAAAGTGCAGTATATACTGAACAACTGTCGTCCCTAAGGCAGCAGCTTTTTTCAATTGACGCAGTGGTAACGAATATATTAGCTATCTCCGTATTTGAGACTGAAACGTAGTCGGACACGGTCACCGCTTCCTGATGGCTATTCTGGTCAACTGCCTTTTGTGAACCCACAGCGTCACGTTTGATACTTCCATTAACTGCAGGGGCAGTGTTCGTTTGTCCACCAGGTATCGGCACATCTACGTTAGAGGAATTGCAATCGTTATGGATAACCGAATCCCCACGAGTACTATTGGTTAATAGCGGACTAAAACTAGTAGCATTGGAAAAGGACTCGCTCTTAATGTCACAAGGAAAATCGCTGCTTGCTGTAGTGTAGCTATCTGATGCCACACTACTACGAGTGTCCAAGGGGAACTTTTTGATAAAGAGTCGTCTTTTGTTAACGTCAACGTTTGTACCAAGGAACTGGCTATAAGGAGAGATCCTTTTATGGCGTTTCTGATCGGGTGATGCGGAGTCCACAATGCGAACGAAATGAAAAGGTTCGTCAGGAAGACGAAGAACAAACAGTCCGATATCTCTAGGTAACGACTTGATTAACAACTCAGTGAATTTTTTCGTCTCTGTGTAGTCTGCAAAGAAGAAGGAAGTAATAGACTGTATATGGAAAGAGTAAACGTAAAGTCCTTCATCATCTCATCCGCAGTCGTCCATAACAACGAAATCGTTCAACACACGAGGAATATTCTCGTTGTCGCCATAATTAGTGAGGAAAAGCTTCAGCATCCCATCGAGTATTTCCCGTATAATGCCAACAAGTTTAGTTCCAGGAAAGGTAGAGGGTGAAGCAAAATTGATGTGTATTCTGGGTATTGTGGTAAGTCATTAAACACTACTTCAGAGAAACAGCGGCGTTCTAACGATAAACTGCTATATATCTTCCAGAATGTCTTCCGTGAACCATATACTTTATAACAATCTTCGATGTGATTCTTAACTACCAGCATAGGACCAGACAGAGCGGTCTTATCGTATACTTCTTCAATCGATAGCTCTTCCTTCTCACTTTTATCGGGTGCTACTGGGTGTTTGGCCATTTTTAAATATTCACGTTTTTTCAAATGCTCACGTTTTTTTAAATGTTCACGTTTAATTTAGGACAAAAGTATAAGAACATTATATTAATACGAGAAGTCGGTTGGCTATGTAAATGAAAGGGACTCATAAGGAGCAGTATCGGTAGTAGGGCATAAATCATGTGCTCTTGATGGTAATAATTATAGGAGAGACCTTATCCCATCCGTATTTTTCTATCAATAATGTATATATTTATCGCAACTTCGTATAGGCACGCCTACGAAGAAAATTTTGTGGCGACGTACATATTGTAATAGGTTGGTAACGATAAAGTATATATTTGTTACGAGTGAAAAAAATTTAGGAATCGATTACAGGGAAGGTTAAAGAGGACCGTAACTGTAGGGAGATTATAAGTAGACAGCGGGTTTTCCACTCTTGTAATTCTCCGTATTCGTTCACGTTGCTGAGTATCGTCACATTTCTAAAGAAATACCTTCCGGATCAAAAATAACGTAACAATCATTATCGTATTCACTTACTGAAAAATGAGATGGCATCGTTACAAAAAATACGTGGTTTTATTTTATGTGAAGCTGGATAGTTAAACAAACAGAACATATACCCTCGAAAGGGAATTTAATTCTACTTTTATCCCTATCATCCATTCCCGAACGGACTCAAACTTCTAGTTAAGATAAGAACCTAGTGTGAATAATAAAAAGAAGTCGTGGCAAACTTACAAATGATTAAGTAAACTTGAAGAAGAAGAGAAACTTGAAGTGTGCATACAATCTATATGTGTAAAAAGGCACCGCTATGTAAAAAATTAGATGAAACAAAAAATGAATAAAAATCTTTATCTAATTTAAAATTCCTAAAATCATTGAAAGGGTTTATATATCCTCTTTCGTGATCGTCACTTGCGACGAAATGTACGAGACTTTACTGGCAGCAGACCGTTGTTTAGAAAAAATGCGTGGAAAAATTTTGTGAATAATATTCTCAATTTCGATGAAGGGCACGTGACAGGGAATAACGTGGGATAAGAATAGCTCATCATTACCCTACTCCCGAAGGGAGAAATAACATGAATGAATGCGGAGAGGACACCTGTCTACAAATACATGTCCACATATGCCGGTCCACATTTTCCACATAACCTCTTGTAGTACTTGTATGGAAACATATAGGTTAAATGCGGGTGTACATGAATAATAGGATATACATCCGGTTTAAAGTCATGACACAGACCGCCTGAACACTTTTCTACTTCGTACCCTCTGGGTAGATATTTTTAGGTATATATAAGTAATTGCATGTGTAATGATACCACACAGTCTATGGCTAACCTTATTTATTCTTGTGTAGGCGGTCCGAATCCAGCTATTCAGAGGGTACTCGTTACGTGTCTCTAACAGTGCAACCTAATGTTGGTAAATCTCAGACACTGTTCCGGTAGCATTAAGCGGGAACCAGTAGATACTATACTGTTGTGAATACGACACAGTTCTGCGATATCACTTACTAACGGTTTCCGTGATGTGGCCAACACTGCCACATTCCGCATCCCCTGCAAGCATTCCTGTGTCCAATCTAGGCGGAGCCTACGAAGTAGAATACCAAAAAGCTATTAGGGTCTCCTTCGTTCAGAAAACTGAATAATAGAATATATATGGTATTATTATGGAACTCCTCAGTGGTATAACCGAATTGGATTGCTTTCTCTGTAATGCGGAAGAAAATCCGGACCCAACTGATAATTCCTTGAAAGTCTATGATTATAACAAGTTCACAAATACTTGTTTTATTGGGAATGGAAAATTTAGTAATATCTTTAAGGCGGACCTCAATAATGATGGGGGAGGGAGATAGCGCTAAAAGCAAGCAAAAAAAATAGCGTCACGCTTATTGATGAACTAAAAGTCTACTATAGATGCATTACGGAAGATCCCGAGGCTAACATTACACGTATCTATGGAGTGACAAAAGACCCGAATTCTGAAGGACTTATGTTGGTGATGGAATACGCACAGAGGGATAACTTACGGAGCTTTCTTGAAAATGCAAAACCTTCTGAGCTCTCCTGGGAAGCGAAAACATACTTATTATGGGATATCATAAGAGGTCTAAAGGTAATACATAAAGTAGGTTACGTTCACAAAGATCTGCATAGCAAAAATATTTTGTGTTTCGAAAGAGCCGGTACCTTAACAGCAAAAATTACAGATTTAGGGCTTTCGTCGCAACCTGGTACTTTCAAACCTCAGGGGATTATACCGTTTATGGCGCCGGAATACCTAAACAGCTGTTTGTATACTACCTCAAGCGATATATACAGCTTTGGAATCATCATGGCAGAATTATCTATAGAAAACCCTTTTTTTTGGGATCATGAATATAACATCGCTCTTATATTAAAAATTTCTAATGGATTGAGACCAGAGTTGGCTTCAAGTACACCTCAGCCCTACGTTAACTTATGTAAGTTATGTACTGATGCTGATCCTGAGAAAAGACCCACGGCGCAGGAGATTTATGAAACACTCACAAACTGGCTAAGCGATAAGAGTACATTTAAAATTAAGGATAAGATTTAAACACTAATGCTCCTCTTGGAGAAAACCGGTCCGTGAAAAAAAAATCTACTCAGTGATGTGGCCTCCAAGGTTATCTGGAAAGACTGCTATCCTACTCGATACTACCAAGGTTGTGACCGAGATGAATTTGCCAACAATAATACTAACAGACTACGGAGAAGAAAATTAGTAGATGGGTTGTTTTTTTGAGAACGCCGTCTCAAAATTTTTTCGAGTAGACCTATGAACTGACCGTCTTGCCGCTCAACCAGTAGAACCACCCAAAGGGTGCGCTGTTGACAGAGGAGGTTCTACGTAGTACCTTTTAGATAGGAACCTAGGTTCACTTCCGAAGGAAGGTCTAAAGACTAGGGCAAGACGGTCATGGAATAACGTGAACGGGAGATAACGTGGAAAGAATATGCTTGGACAACAGCGCAAACGACGGCCATGAGTTTGTTCACAATTGAACTACAGATCGTTTGCATGACTACTATACACATATAATATGGCACAGTAATGGCAACATAAGAATTCGCATGACACTCCCTTCGGAGAATCGTGTGAAAGTTTTGAACTAAGTTATGTGATCTTGACCAATGGAACGATAAATGTCGGTATAAGTAACAGTAAACGACATTGTCTTAAATCAGGTAAGGTAACTGTATGATTTAATGCCAGTGATCGCAATTAATGCTCTTACTTGTCTGAGGAGGTTCCACGGTTTCTTAGTAGACAGACTGCGAATGATCGTCAGTATTTATGTGGTGTTGGACAGATTAATTTTGATTCCAAAAGTTGTATCCATTAGATGGGAGACGATTTCTAACAAAATATTCGGCCGGGAATGATTTTATATACTACAGCACAATGGGTCTTTCTTTACATAATAGAGAATGAATCCGCAAATGATAGTAAATACAGTTTGATTTTAACGAAATTGGACACTTTATTGTGTGTCCCGTCCAATTTTACAGTATTCCTCTGTGTTTTTCTGGGTGCTATGAACGAAGTAGAAGGATTCTAGGGAAATTAGTCCACGGGACTGAGCACACCCCGCGGGTGGTCCTACTCTGGCCACTCAGCCAGCTCAAAGGTCTTAGGAATGTGTTCCTAATATCATGGCGTAGAATTAACTGTTATCGATAACCAGTTATGGGCACACTCCTTCTAGGACGAAGTCTAGTTAATGTTCTACTTCGTACCCAAATGATAGATGGAATGCTTAGTACCCGGAGGGTAGGGCAAGACACTTATGGCATTGCTTTGCAATGCGTTCCTAATCGTGGAGGAGCACATAAAGTTACGCCTCAGTCAGAGAACATGTGACAAATATGTATTCATCGTCATTACCACAAAATATCTGTGGATATTGTTACAAAATTAGGACTTGAAGTGATCGACATTTGTCTCATCGTTACTACAAAAATTTACGGATACTGTTGCGCCCATTGCTACAAAAATGCATGAACTTTGTCACAAAAATATACTGACTGTTAAATCATCACCGCAAATATGAACCTGTGGCGAAATAATTCAGGCTGTAACAAAATATACAGTTCTGGTGACGATTGTCAAAGCAACGTTATTTGTAACAAATGTTAAAAACACTGTATGAACTGTTGTTCATGAAACACTATGTATACTAATTGTTACAAAAAATACAAACATATAAAAACATGTTATCATTATTAGAAAAAATATATATGGACATTACTTTCCTCTCACAGTTGTAACTACCTATTAGTACGAAGTAGAATTTCCACATGACGAAACTGTACGGAACTTGATTAAATATCTTCATATGAGAGTTGAAATAGACATTAACACTGTTATAAAATTGATGGTATGACCCCTTCATCATGATAAAATCTCCGCTTCATTCTTAAATATGGCGAACCCAAACAAGGATATGAACAGCAGTACACTGTCGATGACAAACGTTACATATTTCTAGCAACAAACGGTTTATACAGTGATCCCATTAATATGTTTATTCAGAGACTGTTCGAAGCATATTTTTCTACCGTAGGTATATACAGTGATGAGCATATTTTTTCCTTCGGGTTCCACTGGAAAAAGAAAGAGGGGCTTTAGCCCATTCCATGCAAAATACGTAAAAAACGTATAAAAAAATGTCTAATATGGCCATTTTCACACATTCGTCATTCCAGTAAAACCTCCCTTCAGGAGAATAATTTTGCTCTTCGAGCAGTCTACGACTGATCACCACCGTATTAATTGGATTGCGAAAACAATAACAATTGCCACAGTCCTGGTATTAATGATGAAATCACTACAGTTACATATTCTTGGTAATGATATATGCAAAAAAATTTGCATAATTTGGAAACGTTTTCTGCTTCTGTTCCTTATCACCCGTTGTCCATCAATTTCCATTTCCGCAGTCAATGCGTACTAATTATTCATAACCACTAGCCTTTATCGCAGTTATTGTCGGTTACTTACGTTATCGCACCTCATTGTCCACCAGCATTCTACTTTCAGTATATCAGCCAGGCTTGGTCTTTCAGAAATATCCAGAAACGACGTTATCTTGTTTAGAGACATGTGAATTCACAGTCGATATCCAAGGAATACTGCGTATCTGTTGTTTACTAAAATTTTGTTCCGCTGTTGATTTCCGTCGTATACCGACGAGACATGGACATTTCGTATTCTCGAAATCTACTCAGAAGATTGCGTATACATTAAGCATGGTACTGTACTTGTCCCATTCTTTTGTTCATCATAAAGGCAAGCGCAATGGTTATTTTCGTAGAATATGTTAAGCCTTGGGCATTGGTGGTTATTATTTGCTATACAAGAAAAGACTAATTTTCGACAAATGTTGTAGTAACAAACACCTTTGCATCAGTAAATTCACTGAATAAATAGCAAACAAAGCGACTAAAGAATATCTGGAGCACTAAGCTGCTCCTCGAGCAGTCTCTGAGTGGGTATGGAAAAAACAATGGTTGTCATCATTGTAGCTAAGAATACAGGAACTGTTTGCTAATGTCACGTTGTATAGATACGCTTTTTTTATTCTCTGACTTATCCCGTCTTGTTTGAATATAAACACGTTTCGTTCTTCACTCGACACAAAACCCGTCTTTTTAGGTGGGCGCAATTCACCTATTTTTTGGTTAATCATTGTACTCCATTTTCACAGGACTACCCTCCTATATATTTACTTGGAGACAATTCTCTCTAGCGGGGTCTACGAAGTCCTAAAACCAAGTCAATGATGGGTTGACTGCACCACATTTATCTCGAGTGCTGCGCCACAAACTATCTTAGGCGTGACATCCTGGTCACACCTGCCGAAATTTTTCTGAGAGGAACACGTGACTTAACTTGTCCATTTTTTCGTTCCAAATTAGATAAGAAATCTATCGCAGACAAATAAAAAATAGGGCGGTAATCGAGTTAGTTGCTTATTCGTGTAATGTAGTCTACTAAGGAACCAGTCCTGCAAAATGTCTTTGTTATTTACATATGCTGTTTTAGTTAATTATTGCTGTCCGCTTATATTATTCGTAGTCGATCCCTATTATTAATCAGCACCTCGATCTGGGAATACTTTACGCATCTATTGTCCACCATTGCCCTACTCCGCAGACACTAGTACGTAGGTGGTGTTCTATTCTCTGAACTACATGTGTATGTACACACAGAGATAATATTAGCGCTTATAAACGTTATACATAAATTACGTTGTCATTCACATATTCTTCCAGTCTATATTTTCATCAATTTCACAGTCGATACCCTTGGGATGCACAAGTATTCTACTTCGTAACTTCGCCTACAATTGTACGTTAGTATGTGGAATATCGGTCATTGCGATAATAAAATATTGATTCGGGATATAGTTTATGCCATGTGCGTGAGTTAAGAGTTAATATCTTTTGTAATGATAAACAAAATAAAAACTATTGCATGAATAGACTAAGAATGAAGTATGAAGTATGAAAGCCATGACAACTTAACACGATCAGAACGATATTCTTTTAGTAATCCCAATAACACATACGTATTTTTAATTTACAAGAAAAAATGACAATAGTCTCCCTTCTATAATACTGCTATTACCTGCTTCAACAATAACACTGGGATTTCTCGGAAGTATATATATGACCAGGATCAATGTCTGTGAAACGTGGGCAGTCCATGATTATACTGTAGACGAATAGCAAACAAAACGTTAACGGTAGTTACAGGAAGCCAATTTCCCTAGCTTCATCTATTGGACTAGTAGTCTTGTATACCATGATAGTTCGAAATGAGCATTCCTTTTATCTTTGCAATTCGGAAATGGACGAACCAACCTTTTAGAGATTACATTCCTAATAGTTAAACAACTAGACCAATGAATAGCATTGAGAACACGTGCATTTATTTATGTTATTGCATGTCAACAGATATTATATAGCAAGATTCTATTCTATTTTGCTTGTATAGTATAAAGTAACCGGTTTTGTAGTTGTCCTCCCAAGTGTTACCCAAATATCGTTGTTCATCTCGGCTCCACGAAATTATTTTTTTCAATTGTGGTTCAAACTAATGAATTATTGAGGAATTAATCTCAGTTTGATGGTTATTCGCATAACTCTTGTTGGATAAAGCTGGTCTTTCCACATGCTGCCGGAAACAGTTTGTACGTGAGTTTTAGTGGTATGGTGTTCATTCTGTTCAGTCCCAAGAGAGATATAAAACAACAGCTCGAATCATAACATTTTGTTTCTAAGGGTATCGTTACCACATTTCACGGTATTTTAGCTTATTTCATATGTACTTCATTCCCAAAGACAGCATGGTATAAAAAGATATTACTAGTCCCCAGACAGAGTATAGTACCAGCATGTACTAACTCCCTATTTTTACATAGAGTCGCATGTCGAAGAGTGTCATTGTTTCACGGAAAAATTAACTTTTGTAATCCCATAGTTATCACATGACTAGAGCCCATCGTTACCACATAACATATGAAACTAAGTTATTTATCGTTACTAAAG